ATTTTTTATTGAATTCACCCTTAACGTTTATACGTTCTTCTCTATCTAAATGAAATTGTAACTAAGTCATTGAATTGTACATGAAAAGATCATTAATTCAAATATTGATTCTTAAATTTATTGTTTATCGATAATTTATTTGAATTGAAAGTATTATTTCAATAATACGTATAACATATATAAATAAATAGGAGTTAGAATGTGTCAATAATAAAATATACATTTCAAATAAAATTTTGAACCAATAGATTGGCTATTTAAACATTTTATTTATATCAAGTCCGTTGAGGTACCAATATATTAATAATAATTATCATATGTCAAACGAATATATTACTCAAAATCTCGGAGGTTATAAATTAAATAAAATAAATAATGGAAGATTGTTTATAAATAGTGTAAAATTTTTAAATTCCATCAAAATTAGGGGTTTTATAATATTATTTTATATATTATAAAACTTTATTTTATATATTATATTGTTTTATATATTTTTATAAATTAAAACAATCATATTTTGGAAAGTTGACAATTCAAACTGATGAAGTTATTGACATTTCATTTAATTTTATGTTTAAATTAATTAATAAAATAAAATAAAATATACAATAAATTATACTTACATATTACATGATTGTTAAATTGTACTAAATAAATAAAGTCACATTCTACAAGAATCGCGAACTTGGTGAGGAAACATTTGTTCTCTCAGAAGAAAACACGCGATAATGACGTATTATCCACCTTCTCTTCGATGGTCCAAATGGAGTTTATGGGTTCTACTCGAGTATGTTCGTATGACCGAGATTTTAACGAATATAGATTTGGTCTAAATTGCTGTAATAATAAATGATAATTCTGTTCCATTTTTTATAATAAAATACCCTTAATACGTAATAATAATTATTATTATGTGTTCAATCTGTTTGGCTCGGAGGGCCAATGAACGACCAGTTCATTAGATAAAATATACTCTAATTACAATTTCGATCAATGAAACTTCAAATTAGTTTCATTTGTATTTATATATAAATATTTCTCATTAATCGCAAAATATTAATATTAATATGATAGAAATAATTTTATAAAAAGTTAAAATACACTATGATATTTTTATTAAGATTTTATTATCTTAAATTTCATATATGTAAAATCTTCATCTATTTTATCGCTATATACTTTCACTTTTATTTACAATTTTTCTTAAAATTATCAATAATTTATTCAATTATAGCTCACATGTATTTGAATGATCAAATATTGTATTATCAGTTGAATTCAAGCATACGCAACTGGAAATTCTGAAAGAGAAATTGATTTAATTTTCATTGCAACACATTAAAGCCATTTAAATTATATTTAAAAATTTATAATAAATTTATAAAAGAATCAAATAATTAATACAATTCATGCATGTTATACGTACTTTGTATAATATTTTTGTTTATCCTAATAAGTAATAAAACGATTAATAACAGTTTATATTGCAATTATTGTTATACTTTAAATAAAATATACTTCAAATAACATTTCACATTGTTTCAATTATTTTGTGACTACAATTTGGGAATATTTAATAGTGTCGATGTCGGGTTATATTTTAAAAAAATACATTGTTAGGATTTAAATAAAAAAATTTACCCGGAAAGCTTAGGAAAGTTATGTCTAATACATCTATACAGCAAACTTCCGTATTAACATGAATTTATTCAAAGGTGAATACATGTTTCTATTAAATAACAAATAGTTAGTTTTGATTATTAATTATGTTTATGCTGTTCATAATCGATTCATTCAATTTATAAGTAATTCGAATTAATAAATTGAATTATATGTTAGACCGAATAGACATTTCTTTTGTATCGTTTAATCCGTACATTTTACTTTATTTATTATATAATATATAATATATAAATATACATATAAATAAATATATATAAATATAAATTTATATAAATAAATATAAATAAATATAAATAAATAAAAAAAAATAAAAAAAATATATAATATATAAACTTAATTTACACCTCTTGTATAGGTAAATAATTCATTGAAAATAAGTTGTTAAAGGATCAAAATTAGAAAATTGAAATTTACCGATCACTGGAGAATTAAATGATAACGAACTAAGGTAATTCGGGGAAAAGCTTTTGCTTTAAAGATAATGTACATACGATTCTCAAATACACATGGCTCAAAGTGCTAATTGCTTTTATTTATGCCGTACAGGTAAACCGTACTGTACCAACATTACTTCTATTTACACGGTACAATATATATATATATTATATACATAGTAATTTAACCATACAACATACACGTACTTACAACTCAAAGCTATAGACTATGCAATATTTGCGTAGCAATAATATATTTAAAAGTTTTATTCAAAAGTTGAGGAAATTACGTTTACGTACAAGAAAAATTAATATTCCATACATTTTTTTATTATAAAGTATATATAAAAATCACTTATATTTCACGTATAATAATTACAGAACTGTTAAGTTTAAAAATAACTTATTTGCATTTGATAGTTTAATAATCGATAATCGATTCGTGATGTTATAATTAATGAATGGTGTGTTATGATATTGAAATGTAATTAAAAATGTTTATAATACGTTTATTTAATAGGAATGTGTAGATTAAGAAATACTATTATGAAATAATTTCTTGTTAACTTAATTGAATTAAAATCTTATTTTCTATTACTACCATTTTTTTTTTTTATAAAATTTATCTATCGAATTTTTCATTAAATTCATAGTTTATTAAATAGTTTATTTTTTAACTTTATTCTACCAATCAGATACACTTGTTTTCAAGTTCCGATTGATCTGAATTCAGAGCGCCTAGATATTCCAGACAAAAATAATATGCTGCATATATTCCTTTTTCAATAATCAACTGCAGTTCAATATTTCAACCATTCCTGGATACTAATGAAAGCATCTTTAATTTTGAAAAAAGAAAATAAATAACAATTGTATATTATAATCACGATTGTAAAAGCAAAAGAATTTGCATCGCTACATACTACAGAAATGTGAGTAAGTTTAAATATCCGTGGAGATAGAGAGAGAGAGAGAGAGAGAGAGAGAGAGAGAGGGAGAGGGGGCGGGGGGTATAACTATGCTGTTAAAGGATTTTTATAATCTTTTCAATTCAATGTATTGTGGTAAAAGTTAATTTACAAATGACGACTAAAGTTTTATAATGTACGTTGATAATATATTTCATGAATCAACTTAGAATATTATTTAAATATAAATTTAAAACAAATTATTTATACATTGATATTATTTATTTATTTACATATAGAGAATAATGTATGTATATATTGAAATTCTGTCATTATTCAAATAACAAACAGTATACATTCAATTTCTAATGACTTAAGAATGAAATATTTCATTACATATTAAAATAGAAGATAATTATGAATTTTAAAATTATTATTTTTGCTTGATATTTATGTTCTATTTTTTATCAAAGGTAATGATAATATATATAGCTCATTTTATACTAAAAATACTTATCAAATAAAGCAAAGTCATAATAATATATTTAGATTTTGCAAAATAAAAATATTGTTACTCTAATATTTATTTCAAGTATAGTATATAAAAATTTCAACCTAGAGGCCATTATTTTATTTAATTAAATAAATAATGATTAACGTGATGAAATTTAATTACTTTAAAATAAGAAATCAATTTCAATAATTTAAATACCAGTGTCGCACATGTATATATTTATAAAAGTATCGGGAAATTTATTCTGATTATTAATCATAAAATATATAAATAACATAACCTTTGAAAAAATATTCACTTAAGAAATGATTTTGTAGAATGGAATCTTTGATCTCGTGCTATGAATATTTTTTTAAATTTGCCTTTATCATTCAAAGAGAGTTTCCGTATACGAATTTAAAAGATATACAGATTGGAGATACCTTAAAATTTCTGTAACAATAATATTGAATTTAAAATCTTATCATTAATATAAATAAAGTTTAGCACTATAATACAAATTGATTTCTATTACGTTAAAAATATTCATTAAAATAATATAAAAAAAAAAACAAAAAATGTATTATATAAGTAAGTGATGTTGTAAGCCACGTTTTTTTTTTACAGTTTTTTTTATTTTTTTTTTTTTTTTTTTTAGTATATTCTTGTTAATTTAGTAAATCTAATTATAAGTTGTAAATTATAGTCTTTAGGTGAATTTATATAAGAAAGTAGTACATAAGAAAAACAACATATACTTGATTAAAATAACTTTTATTTCGCAGTTAATTTGCAATAGTAATTTAATAGTTTTAAATATATAGAAATGTTAAATTAGAATTAATCTATCAAAGATAATGATTAAAATTAACTTATTTCTTAATGTTATTAGAGATAGTTGTTGCATGTTAAATTGTGCAATAATTGAAATCGTTATTAATTGTGAAGTTTGCATAAGTGTAAGCAGGGTATGTATATTAATACGTGGAAGTGACTGATAAATTGACGCATCGAATTGGCTATTGTTTAATAGCGTTATTTCCTGCTTAATTCATACAAAGTATGGAAATTAGTTAAATAATTATCATATTAATTCTACGAGAAAAATGCTTTAGAGCCGATGAATTGATCACGGTTAACAGATAATCGGCGAATTATTGTGTTTACTCCTGCAATTTATAAGCAAGTAACTTGAAATTAAATTCCAAATGAGAAGAGAAAATTGAAGATTGAAGAGTTGAGTGAGAACAACGAAGAGGCGAGGTATTCGCTTTGGCCAGAGCCAAAAGATTGAGGAGCGCTCGTTTTATTTTGGGTGTAGTGTCACGGTGGTGGTGGTGGTGACGGTGTAAGTAGTAGTGGAGGTAGTGGTGGTGGTGGTCGTAGTGGCGGCAGTAGCGGCTACGACAACAGCAGCAGCTGCCGGGAAATGACGATGTAGACGACGACGACAACGACGACGACGACGACGACGACGACGACGACGACGACGGCGACGACGACATCCAAGTATCGTGACTCCGTGCCAGGGACGATGGAGGACAGCTACATGGTGCACCGGCGTCGCAAAGCTGCTGCCAGGCGTCGTGAGAAGACAACCGAAGTCAGATATCGTAGCGACGAGGGAAACCCCAGCGCCGACGGACGCCAGTGTAAACGCATCTTCCCGTGACGTTTCCTGCTTTTTTTATTCCCCAAGCTGAGGGTCCCGAAATTGTTAGAGCTTTGCCGTTTCATTTCCGAGAGTCTCGTCGCGCGAGCGCTTCTTTGTCCGATTTTTGGTGCGTGCTTGCAATACTAAAATACAAGTTGGTGGCTTGGTGTTGGTGAAAAATGTCTCGTGACGTTATTTCCGCGAATTAAGCGATGATCAATTATAAAACGACAACATAGTTTTATTACGATAAGCTGATTATTATCGTAGATTTCTTGTTTAAATTCGGTCGCGCCATAGGATGTAATTTTATTTTGCCTTGATTGCGTACCAAAGTGCGTTTGGTATTTAAATGTCGTCGCCGTCAAAAATATCTATGCCAATAGTTTTAACTACCTCTCCGAAAGGGTTTTTTTTTTTTTTTTTTTTCGAAATGGTTACATCTTATTTAAACGAATAAGCACTCGCATATTGAGTTGCACATTTCATTCGATATTCCTTATACGGCGTAAAAGGATAGAATTCGCTCATATTTCATTTTAATATCAACTATTTCCTCGTTTTAGAGATAAAATAAACTTTAACTCGAGCTAACTCGAGTAGAAGATCTTTTTAATCTTAAGGTCATTTTAACTTTAATCAAAGTAATTTATTGTTTATGCTTAGTTATTATTATTATTTTCAATTTATTTCTTACGCTTATAAAATTTGAATCGATCTCCAAACAATTTAATATCTAATGAATGAAGCCATTAACAAACAAAATATAATTGTAATATTATAGTGCTACATGGTTATTTGGAATTCAATGACAAAATTTGCTTTAAAGTTAATGCAAACGATACCATTAATTAACAATTATAAATCGAAAATCGAGTTGGATGTCAACGTGCAATTTATTCTAGTATAGTCCAAATTTAAGCGCACGTTATGCTTGCATTTGTCTTGTAATGAAACATAAAATCAAAGAAAAGAAGTTATCTTGAAATACGTTATTTATAATGAAAGTGAAAAGCGAGGACACCATTTCGATGGATGAGGAGGAGGAGGAAAGACGCGCACGAATGGAGCGGATGGTCGAGGATACGGAGCGTCTGGAGAAGATCATGTACAGTGAGGAGGACAGGTCAAGGTCAAGGTCCCGACAACGTCAGCCCGAGAAGTCGATGCCCATGGTCATGTCATCAGCAGTCAGCAGGTCTCTTAAAAGGACAAGTTTTAACATATTACAATAACGTCTTTGGGAAAGCGTGAAACTATTATGGATTATAGATTGATCGATGATGCCAGAGTGATAGATTCGCTTATTCAAACAAAAGCGTTGAATATATATATTTTTTTAATAGAGTACAGTTAGTTGGAGTTTACACTATGGAGAATAATTACAAGTAAAAATGTTAGTTGTTCTATGCCTATTTGAAGAAAGTTAATGGTTTAGTAAAGTAACGATTGAACTCGTAAAATTTAAATACAAGTTATTTTCATCTCCAGTTTACGGAAATTTGCACGAGTTATTATTAATTTGTTCTAAACTTAAATATCGTTACTTTTTGCTAATATAATATGAGTAGACACTAATAGACAATTATATCGTATATTTTGTATGTATAAAACATATTTTAGTTAAATACCAATTGAAAATTTTAAAAAGTCGAATAATGTGCTCAGGTAAATTTATATTTGTATGAGAAAACCTACACTCGTTAATTTCGAATTTAATAGAATATGTATAGAGTAAAGTAGATATACCAATTTTGGTAAATGCGTAATAAAATATATTATATAGTAAATAATGAAACACATAAAAAAATTTTGTACATTATTTAATATAAAAATGTCTCTAATTTTTATCATAAAACTAGTAAATAAAACTATATCATCTTTAATTTACATAGACTTTGAAAATAATAAGCTAAGCTTATTATAAAACTGCATCATAGCTATTGTTAATTGGTAGCTTAGTAGAATCCATAAATTTCTTAACAATATATTGAAAGACTTTTTTCATCTAACATTAGGATTGAATGTCAAATAAATACAAGGAGACATCGATCAAAATTAGTGCATCTACTTTATAAATTTTTGAAATGCAGTTTAATAATAAATTAAGAGCATTTAACGAAACGGTCGAAAACGCGTAGAATCGGCAGAGCCGAGGACATTCTGCAAGAAGACGAATCGAAAAATCAAGAACTTCCTGTATCGAGAAATGCCGAGTTAAGCGTGCAAGGTCAGGAACAGGAAATGATACTCGACTGTCACCCCTCGATTAAGGTAACCAGAAGGTCACGCAAATCGGGGAATAACATGGAGCTCAGGAGAAGGATGAGCTCCCCTGAATCCAGTAATAATCAAGTGGCTAGACATCCGTCATCGTCTCCTTCAAGGAATATGGTAACGCTGTGGGCTTTTCGGCCTGATTTTTCATGTAAAAAAAAATTATTTCTTACATGAATTCGTATCAATAATATTCGTTTAAATGCACCGCTTTATACATAAATATGCACAAATAATTAGGCAAAAGTAATTATATATCTGGATACTTGGATGCGTAGGATATCTAACTTTTACAACACGAGACTTTATTTATAGAAATAAATAAAAACAGAAGTCTGGAAGATATATTAAAACTACCTCGACAGTCATATATATTTTTCATTATAAATATAGTCATAATATTTCAATCATATCCAGTGATTTTTATGAATATTAGCCTCATAACTAAATAATAATGACATCAATGTTCATTTATCACGAGAGACAAAGTTACAACTACAGCTCGTTTAAACAAACGAAAATTTCTTTACATTCTTGAAGTCTCACCAGGATCTTTAAAATGTATTATGAAAATCAAAATACTTTTAAAGTTGCAAAATTATTTGAAATATTTTAAATGTGACCGAATAAATAAAAAATTTTCTAATAAAATCCTTGAAAAGCTTTTGAGTATAATGTTATATTAAAAAAAAAAAAAAAAAAAAAAAAAAAAAATTATTATTATTATTTTAACTTAACATTTATCATTTTTTCTTCATTATAAAAATATATTCGCTAAATAAAGTATGTAACCAAAATTATTTAGAAAAAAAAATATAATATTTTCACAATATATTTATATTGGTATAATAGTAATAATAATTGAATTTCTAATTAATATTTAATACATGATAATATTCAATATAAGAATAATATGACTTATTATTATTTTATTCTGATCTACCGTCATCGGTAATATTTTTTGCTCTGTGAAATTTGACGCAGCATGAATCGTAATATAAAAAATCATAATTAGAGTCCCAACGAGGATGAACAATCACATCGAAGTAGCAGTAAAAGGCGTGTGAACAATCGTCATCTTTATCAAAATCCTTCGAATAAAGATCAATCACCGGTTTCAATGGAAGATTATAATCGTCGTAGATCAGCCTCTAAATCAGCTAAAAAGCAAATTATACCGTTGAACAACAATTGTCTTATTGCTGATGTGGCTAAAGCGAAATGGGCTTATACTCGCGATGAAATTTTTGATTACGATGATTATAATGATTACGAACGGGAAGAGGATGATGATGAATATATTAAAAGACGTAAAAGAGAATCGATGATGCGAAGAAGGAAAGCTAGCATCGTGCATTCGGATGATGAGAGAGAAGAGATAGAAAAAAGCGCTAATAAGTCCGCCTCTTGGCTTTCATGGATTCCGTTTTTTCGAAGCAATAAACAGAAAGTCGACGAGAGAGCCAAGAAAAGCGAAAGCAATAAACTGAAGAAGAAGATGGAAAAACGGGCTATGGAAGTGGTAGGAATTTTTATATATATATGTTACTATGCAGGTTTATCGTTATTTATCAAATTATTCACAAATGAAGTTTGCGTTTAATAATATTTATTTAGTAATAGATTTATTTGCTATAGTACGAAGCTCAGTACTAAGATGGATATTTTTACTCGAGTTTCATAAGTTCTTTTGCATTTAAATGAAATTAAAATTGTTTACCATAATACGAGAATATATAATGATCGTAATAGGTAAATTCTTTAGTTGTTATAATAATAATAATAATAATAATAATAATAATAATAATAATAATAATAATAATAATAATAATAATAAATAATAATAATAATAAATAATAATGATAATAATAATGATAATAATAATAATAATGATAATGATAATAATAGTAATACAAAACACTTAGATTTACTTTATTTAAAATTCTCCATTCTTGTTTGCAAGTTCATCAAACATAGTCGGCTGCTTGTTCGCATAATTGCCAGCCTCAAAATATTTAATTTTCATTATAATATTTAAATGCCAGTTATCATCAGAAGAGAAACTGGAGAAGGCGACATTAGAAACAACCAAACAACCTTCCGATAAAGTGACCTTCCGTGAGCTCTTCCGGTTAATTTGCGACATGGGCGCCGAATTCCGTGAATACTGTCGTCAAAATCCTCGGGAGGTGCGAACGATAATCGAATTGCGCAATCTATGCATCGTCGAGACAATTATCGTTGTAATTGTTTGTGGCTTGGGGGGCTTCATATTTCGCTTTACCGAAGGTGCTTTCGAGTCCTTTTACAAATGTGGCGTGAAACGCGTGAAAAGAGACTTTTTGGATAGTCTATGGTATCACAGCCATAACATGAAAGAAGATGACTGGAAGAGTATGGCAAGAAGAAAGTTAATGGATTTTGAGGAACAACTGCATACGGCACACGAGGCTGGGATCCAGACCTACAGTGGACAAAGAAGTTGGAGCTTTTTAAACGCCATGGTCTACTGTCTCACCATCGTCTCGACAATTGGTGAGGATGCTGACAATCACTATCAAGGGAACAAATACTCATTTTCGAAATGATCATTGAAACAAATTTTTATTACCAATACAAAAAAATTTTTCTATTGCTTTGAAAATATGTTGTGCGTATCAGTAAAATATTTTTTGCATTCAATTATTTAGGATCTTCAACCTAAATAATGGATAAATACAAAGAAATATTTTATTACGAACATATTAAGCATTAAGATATTGTCTTGATATTGAAACGATTGAATTAACAATTTTATAATTTGAAGCTTAATATCTTTTTTTTTTCTTTTTTTTTTTTCATTCTAATACAATATTTAATAGTTTTTAACGATATTTAATTAAGACTATTATACTCTATGTAAAAAAAAGTATGTTTACGACTGTAAATATTATATTAAAATATTGAAAATAAAATAAGATATAAAAGAGAATATTTTTCTTGTAATTAAAAGTATCGTATCAAAAGGATTAAATATTCATCATACTTTATCAAATAATAAAATATAATACTAATCACAATTTTATTTTATTAAGAATGAAGAAATTATTTAGTAGAGATTTATTATAGAAATAAAAAAATAAATAGAATTGTTTGGTAATTAAATATTGATTTTCGTATTGAGAGAAAAGAAGCATATAGGGAGTTTATCTCTATTAGATCGTATTTATATTATTTATTCATTAGGTGAGATTTATAAATTTTATCTTAAAATAGTCTAGCAAAAGTATATCAAAATGTATCCTGTATATCATTGTTAATAATTCTGGCGCCAAACAAGTTAAAAAGCTCGATTACTATGTGTATATTAAGCCTTGAAACACTTGCCAACTAACAAAAAAGTCAGGTTTTTATAAAAGTCACGTTTGCTATTCTTCATTTAGTGTAATAAATTTTTTTATTTCTTAAAAATTTATCGCTGTACTCATAAAATAAGCATTCATTGTTCATAAGAAATAGGATAGTGTATTAATATTAATTTCATTGAACAAAAATGTTTATATTATTTATGCGTTATACGATATAAGAACAATGTTACGATTAAATTATTTATTCGATACGATACTTCATGAAAAGTCTTATTTATAAACAAAAACAATATATTAAACATAGGAATTGATAGTGGACACAATAAATATAAGCATTACTCAAATTGAAATCTATTTAATGTAGCATTTATTAAGAATTTATTATATTATTTGATAAATGTAGTCTAGCCTAGTGTACTTAATAATCTAGTTGATTTGTATTTTCAAGTATTTAAAATTCAATATTTTATTTCAAGATTTGGTAATTTTGATGTATAAAATATTTATTTTAAAATAGATAAAATATAAAATGATTGATCATTATTGATTCATAAGACGTAGATATTTACTATTATAAATTAAAGCTAACTTTCGCGGTAAAATTTTATTAGATATTATTCCCCAAAAATTCCCAACGAATTTATTTAAGCTATTATATTAATAAACCTTATATTTTTTTAATAAATATTTGTATAATAAATACGACTAATTAATTTATCATATTAATAATATATGATATTAATATTTGTAAAATTTATTAATGTAATATGTATGTTAAATTAATTTTGTTAATATTGATTTTACTCGATCATCCCGATATTTTGGATTTTTCTTGTATATATGGCCTCTCATAAAATTAATTCATACATTCTTAATAATCACATAATTATTAAACTTGATAATTTAAAATCCATAAATATTAATTTGCAGAAATATTTGAGTAATAAAATTTTGATTTGATTCACTAGTGAACAATCACTATTGTATTGAATAATAGTATAATTATGTTAATTATGGTTTTTATATATAAATATTTAGAATTGTTATAAAAAGATTTGAAACAACGATTTACAATGATTGTTAACGATGCCATGTAAAAGTGATAATAAAAATGATATAACATGCAAAAGTGAATACGTGTGATGAAATGCTCACACAAAAAAATTGTAAATGTGACATATTTCATATTTCATTAAGTCTTTCTCGATATGATTCCAGGTTATGGACACCTTTCCCCAAGTACAACCACGGGCAGAGCATTAACTATAATTTATGCGATTTTTGGCATTCCAATGTTCCTCATTGTATTGGCTGATTTTGGAAAATTATTTACCAGAGGCATCAAATTTCTCTGGGCCTTTGTACGTAGATTATATTATACTGGAAGTTGTCGCAAAGTGAGAAGAACCGTTCCGATGCAGGCGAGTGTTTAAATCAGACTAATAATAATAACATTTCCCTCTGTACATTTAACTGTGAAAATTTTAAAACACAAAATTATCAAGTTTTAATTATTGTTATTTCAACTATTTTAATATCTAGGAAAAGAGCGGATACGAATTCATGTATATCGCAAATTCATTCATAGGAAACAAAAATATAATGGAAATAAAGTAAAATTAACTATTACAATAAGTATTTAAGGAAACCATTATTTTCATAGTTATTTACGTAACTTTTTTTTTTTTTTTTGCTTATACTTTATATATTTTATAAAATATATAGACATATAGAGATAACTCGGTGATTAAAGGTCGATGATCAAATTAATCTAAATAAATATTATTTAGACAACGAATTTTTATAAACGTAGCTATCGTGTTCATATTTGCGTAAATATTACTAAAAGTTATAATATTATTATCGATAATGCAATTAGTCGAGCTACGTCAATTAAAAGGACGTAGCATAATATTTTTAATTTTATTATAACGTTTCGGCATTCGTGTCCTTATTTTCAAACTTCCTTACGCTATTATTTTGGCACTCTATTCCACTTTATTCCAAGTCAATGCAGTATGAGATAATATTATGTCTATGAAAAAAAAAAAAAAAAAAAAAAAAAAAAAAAAAAAAATCAAACGGCATCAGTTAGTAAGGACCTAGATTTTTTCCGTTTAAGCGGTAAAAAGAGGCAACTTAGGCCACGTAAATATAAAATTATTCTCGTAGGAGATGATGAAAGGCGTGCAGCTCGTTTACGATCTGGCGACCTTCAGACGCTCCTCGCAGATGAGCCCAGAGGAGCTCGCCGAGATGCAATGTCAACAACAAACAGTACTTAACCTTGATGGTAGTACACCCCAGCAAGCGGATTCGCCCTCCACGCCGGCAATGTCGACTTTTGAAATAGACGACGAATTTAATTTGCCCATTTCCGTGGCTATCACAATACTCATCCTATACATCTTTGTTGGCGCCATGGTCTTCAATGTTTTCGAGGAATGGTCGTTTTTCGAGAGTTTTTACTTCGTCTTCATATCCATGAGTACCATTGGCTTCGGTGACTTTGTCCCACAAGTAATATAGATTTAATTTAGTTTAACTTAGTTTTTTTTACTTTAACTTAGTTGTAATTTGTACAATTTGTTTCATAATGAAGTATTTTACATTTAGGCAGCAATAGTTGCAAATAGTTTGTTAAGATCTTTAATCGTTTAACTTCATTAATATCGACTAAATTGTAAGATTAGAATTTTATAATAAAATTCACGTCGTTTTACTCGGAAATATATCGTATTCACATTGTATTAATTAAATGATAATTTTTTTTGTTTATTCTACAATTCAGCGTTAAAGATAAATATAAAATGTTCATCTTAAGCGTCTAAAATCTTTTGTATTAAATTATTTAAACTTTATTTTTAAAAAATTTATAACTAGGCAATAAATATCATAAAGTTCAATTTAAGGTATAATCGTTCACATTATACATAAAATACGTAATTAAAAAATTTTAATCAAGTTTATACATTGCCTTATTATTATAAAAGTATAGAAAAATAATTCGTACGTAGACTAAAATTATCTAAGTAAAATTGTTAAAATTCTTACCGACTATTAAAATTTATTCTTTTTAATTACACATATTTAATTTTTCTTATGTTTTTTTATTTTATCTCCTTTAGTATTCGAAAGATAGGCTTAATGTCGAGAAAATACGGGGATTTCGTGTCATTTATTTGGTTATACCAGCGTATCATTGTACATTATCCGTATTAATTTTATTAATTTAAAATATACATTAAAGCAATTTTTGTTATATTGTTATGTATAAATGATCTTTTACCGTATTATTTATTAATGTTTTAATGCCCCATAGGATCCACTTTACATGATGCTGTCAATAGTATATTTAATTTTCGGACTTGCTTTAACATCTATGTGCATCAATGTTGTTCAAGTATGTAAACAATATTTTGATATATTATTATTTGATATATTTGATAATTTGAACCCTAAAAATCTAGAAATTCTTAAATTACACTTTGTGTAAAATATAATATATTTTGCTAATAGAGTACAATTTTGTACACAAATTACATTATTGAAAAAGACATTTAATGTCAAAGTTCAAACTTGTCGTCGTAATGTTAATTAATTAATTTAATATTGAATTTCGTACACCATACATCTTGAATTTTACTCTGATTTTAGCTTTATAGATTTTAAATTTCACATATATTTATGTAGTACGAAAATTAAAAAAAAAAAATCAAATTACATAGTACCAAGTAATCGTTCAATTGCTTGTTTAATTCATGACGTTAAAGTCGCAGTCTTAACATTTTTGTTAATTGTAAGGATATTGGAATATCTCAGAATTATAAATATTCCAGGTGATGTTGGCGGATCAATTTAAGCATGCGAGTCAAAAAATAGGAGCATCCATCGGCTTCCAAGTATCGGAAGAAGATGGTTCCCTGAAACCGGCAGCACCAGATCCGGTCGAGGTGGCCGAAGATCATAGTGCGATCGGGGTACCGAGTACAGCAGCAGAAACCGATTCCAAAGATAAAGCCGCACCCAAGGCCAAGCAAGAAGATGACGAACTCTAAATTATGACATCTCGATTATAGGATTATACGAATCGCGAATTAAATCTTTTAGGATGGAAAGTGCTTTCAGTCTAGTCACTATTGTCTTCGCAAGTCAGAATAAGATTTCTAAAAAGTTAGTGACGATGATATTACATGTAAATATTATTAATATTTTTTCTGCTTGTGATACCTCGAAAGTCCACTCTTCAATTTTTTATTCTAAAAGATTTATCGTGTATCGTTAATAAAACGGAATGAGCACTCGAGCTTTTAAATATCACGATTTCTTAATATATGTACGAATATTTATCACAAATGTGCGTATAACATATAAAAGCATATAAAATAAACTAATAGATTTAATACACATACACATGCGTACACACACGCGCGCACACACCCATTCGCTCACACTGACACACGAAAGCGCACAGACACACACATACACGCACACGCGCACGCGCACAACCACACACATATGTATAAATACATATATACATATATATTTATACAGCTTTTGCTTTGAAAATTAATTTATAAAATTAAAACATCAGATCTTTATGCGTAATGTAAATTTTAATTGTAACTATAAATTAGAATTAAGATAGAATGACTATTTGACATAGTTTAGTTACAATAAAAATGTTTGAATCAATGTTTGCAATATTTAAAAATAATATATATATATATATATATATATATATATATATATGTATATATATATATATATTTTTTTTAGTAAATATTTACATAAACAATCATATTCTGCTTTTATAATGTAAAAGTATATTTTGACAATGACGCAAATGATTTGCTTTTTAATTCAAATACATTAAAGCTTTGAATTTGTAATATTAAAATTACAAATTCATATGTTGTAATGAGTTTAATCTTGTAAAACTGATTTACTTCTAAAATCAATTAATTTTTTACAATAATAGTAAATAATTTATTTAATTCTTATTAGTAAATTGAATTTTTAACCTTTTAACGTTCAAATACATCTCAGATATCTAATAATCTATTTTGTTATTCATATAAAAGCTAATGATAAACAATGAATCAATTCTATAACATAATGATTTTAAATATAGATTATATATTGTTATTTACATATACTAATTTTCTTTATAAAATTAATTCGAAAAGTTTTACAATAATAAATCATTTTTTTAATTTCTTTTGCAAAAGATCGTATTTTAACTGAAAGTTATTATATTTATATTTTATCGTAGTCTTATGTCATTAGAAACTTTTAACAAACAATAATAGTGTATAATATTTAATTTTTTATGGAAATTATACATTACAACTAATCCAATCAATATTAGATTTATTTTTCAAATACTTGGAACATTTGCAAATAAATGTTTTTTTTTTTTTTTTTACTTTACTTTACTTTCTGGCACATACTAACGAATATTTCAATGTAAAAAGCAAAAGATGATCCATCATAGTGCATGCATTATAGTGATATGTGAGATATGTGAACATCATTTACGAAAGATATTTATTGAGATAACATAAAAGAGCTGATTGAATGTAAGGGTCGAGAAATTGCTAAGAAGAGTTCGATTCTGGTTTTTAATCGATAAAGGTGCTCTCTAAAGATTGAAAATAGGTAACTAAGATTGCAAAAATATAGATTAATATATGCGTATAGTCGTATATCTGTAAGAAAAGTGGCCAAAGAAGAAAGCAAGTAACAACGGAACATGAGATACAGATCATGAGAGACAGATGGTGGAGTAACAAAAGAAGCACAAGGAAAAGGCAGTAACAAAGGGACAATCAATTATTGGAGAGATAAGGGGATACGCGCACCTATGGGCTATTAATACGTAAATCATTGATACGTAAGTCGGCAAGCTGCTTGTGTGCGCAAACATAATTTTGTTGCTATAAAAGCAAATTGACTTATTAGCTGACTGTTTTTATTCATCATTTTGCTCTTTCACTATTATTACCACACTATTACTACACAGACATGACTATTTTGTTCTACTATTCTATATACTCTTTATCCAATTCGTACCTCTTATTTTATATTATGATCAAGGTGCTCTTATCGATCGAAGGCCAGAATTGAACTGTCGGCTCGTGATATTCAGTTACTCCATTAATATAAATATCTTATTACTTCCTACTCCATTCTAACCATCTAAACTTATATTAATGAGGTCGCCCGACCTTATAATAATACAATATTTTGAATGAAGATACCCATTACATTGAAATTGAATAGATTACATAATTGTGACTATTTGAATTACTGGTATACCTACATTATAATTTGTTAATTCTCAAATATGCTTATAGTAACTGGAATTTGGAAACATTAATTTTTTCCCTATCGAATATGAGAAATAATAATATAATACCGACCATACATTTAAACAACTCAAGATTTCTGGTTTTTCGAAATTTTTTTTAATATCAATTAATATTATTGTCCTAACAATTCTCAATATATATATATATATATATATATATATATATATATATTCATTGTAAATTCGAAAGAGTTTTTATTTGTAATATTTCTTTTAATTAGCAACACTAAAGCAAATAATACCCAAAATTCAATATTTTATCGGCAAGTTAAAAATTCTTACATATTTACAAATATATATAATAATTTTTATTTATAGTTTCCAAAATTTTTAAAAATCAATAGCATAAAAATATTTGGTTAAAAACAAGATTATTTTATAAGAAACGATTATAGAATTTTCTTACGAATAAATATATCACTAAATTAGTTTCAAATAAGTATAGATATAATTTATAATTACAGATCATATGGTATAGTAAAAATAAATTTAATAATGTACAAGTTGTAAATTAGTGATATTATTTAAATTATAAATTTCTTTTCCAATACTAAAATAATAATTTTTCGTCTGTAATTTAAAGAAAAATTTAAGAAAATTTTGAAGAATTTTATCAAGGAGACTATAATGCATAGCATATATTTTACTCTGGAAAGTATGAAAACAACAGTAATTCACATTCACTTGGATTCACAATAATTGCAAATGTTCCACATACATCTGTTTCTGAGTAAATGCCTTTTAAAAATATGTACAATACGTTATAACAAATATAGTTTGATAAACTCGTGCCTTTTCAACTGAAAAACTAATAATAATCTTTTACACTGTGGATATTCGATAATTTTATAATACGCTTGTGTTTAATGTATGACATAATTATATAAAAATAACACGCACATATAATGTTCATTTTTATAGGTTCATATTACTAACTCAATTTTCATTGTATTTGTTTATATTATTCGATAAAGAGATACATTTATATTAATATTTTTATAATTATAAAAGTGATGAAATTATGAATTATAACGAATGCGACATTAGTTATCTAAATATTCACAAAAATTATTACATATATGGAAATAAAATTAAATATGAATTATTTGATAATTAAACATATAGTAATTACGGATGAAAATATAATTAATAATTAAATATCAAAACACTAATGTCTATGTTAATGCATGAGTATCAAATGCTATAAGAATACTTCTAATATAAATGGAAAATAAATACAAACAATGAGCGAATTTAAATACAATAATAGTCTAATCAATCCATAATTACAAAGAAATATTTTTCATGCATCAGGTGGAATGTACATAAAAATGCGACAAATTGTATGGTACCTAGTAATAGTTAGTACATTTATTATGATAATTATATATCGTTGTGATTATAATTATCATTTACTTGTCATATGTTTCTTGTTAATAAACAATTGTAAAAAATTTGTTCTCTCTCTCTCTCTCTCTCTCTCTCTCTCTCTCTTTCTCTCTCTCTCTCTCTCTTTATTATTTTTTTTTTTACACTAATTATTTATCATTGATAACTTGTGCTTAAATTCATTTTACTAATTATCTATATCAAAATTTAGATAATAGGCATATAAATATTTAATATAATGTTCAAATTAATAAAATTTATATCTATTTACGTAAGCCTGATTAACAATACAATACTAAATACAATGTTTGATGTAAAATATAAAATACAATTATGTTTTAATTAATCATTGTATTTATAAATTATCCGCACTTATCAAAGCATTACTATATTCAACCGGCCAATACTTTCACGCGATCATTGAAAAATAAGCGCCAAATTCATTATCACTAGAAGTTGCAGCATCGCCGTATTGCATGAGTATTGGTCCGCCACTCTAAGCCAGGAATAAGAGAAAAATTATTGCCGCGACGTTGCCACGTCTTGGCTAGTCTGTTAATTGAAATATGTTGGTCGACTAACAACACGCGCCACGCGCTGTCAAAATAATTGTTGGGACGTTCGTACTTTTGAGATTCGAGAGAGCTGAGAAGAGATCGGATAGAGTGATGTCGCATGTCCAGTATGTCGACGAGCTCGTTAAAGAATATCTGCTCTTTCGGGGCTTTAGCCAAACCCTTAGGGCATTTGACTGCGATCTCAAAGCCGAGAAGGAGAAAGGCTTCCGGGTGAGACAGAGTGAACACGGGATACGTGTTTGTTTTGATGGCCGTTTATTTATCCTTTGCTTGTTCCCTCACAACATTTTTAATTAATCTTTACGTTCCTCCTTTGTTAACACTATAAACAGAAATTTTTAAATTTTACTTATGCGATTGAGTGCTCCTTTTTACTTTTTTAATTCAATAATTTCTTAAATTTCATTATTAATGCTTTCATCAGATTTTGGGATAATTTTCTTTTACAAGTATATGTAAAATAAGTATTAAGACATTGATGATTACTACTTATAATTTATAGTATCATAATAAAGATCAATTAATTATTAAATCAATCAATCAACAAATTCGTTGATCTTTTATAACCTTGTATTTTTATTAAAATATTGACATTTTAATTATTTCTATCGATTAACGATATCAAATTTTTTTTTTAATTTTTTTATCAAATTATCTAATCAACGAGAATTGAATAGAGATTTTGAGATAAATAATAGAGAAATTGAGATAAATAATATTAAAAAATTATGCTTATTGCGCATTTTTAATATACAAATATATTTAATATTTGATAATGCAATTTGATATCAATGTTATAATTAGGAAATGTTGTAACAGTGAGATTTTTAGTCTATTCATTAAACTAATATCATCATTATACATTCTTATTTTAATATTCGAGCGTTATTTATTTTGTTATTTAGGTAGATAAAATTGTAGATCAATTTATGCAGTATATACATGCGTACGATCTGGCTTCGTTACGTGAATTATGGGGACATTTGGATCTTAGATTATTTTCTAGATTGGAGAGCTACTTTGTACCCAGTATTCGAAAATTAGAGAATTCTGTTCTGAAAATGTACATTGTTAATGCAATTGTTAATAATAAGCCTGATAAAGTTCAAGAATTTTTTATAAAAATGACTCCAGAATTACAAGGACATTCCGAATGGCGAGAATGGTTTGGTAGGATTAATTATTTTTATTATATTTTTTTTAATTTATGCTTTTAATTAGAAAATGTTATATAGAAATATTAATTATTTCTAGCACTTCCTTATATAAAAAATCCCGAAGAGAATCTAACATTTTCAGTTTATTTTAGTCGTCATTGGCAAGATACATTATTGGTTTCTCTACACAATTTTTTAGCGACCATCTTCCAAGTATATAAAATATATTCAAATATAAAATTTTATACCATTAAATTGACACGTAAGTTAAATTTTATTATTATTGTTTATAGTGTATGCCAATGCCAACACTTTTAATGATCGACGAGGATACTAATAAAATAAGAAGATTACAAGAAGAAAATGAGAGATTAAGACAAAGGCTAAGCGAGAGGGTAAAAATTGATTCTATTTTAGATGTAAATGCTGGATCATCGCCTCCAGAAACATTATTAATGGATGATTTTTATTTAATTGCTCAGTGTGTATTATTTAAGAAGTAGTTTGCACATTTATAATTGTAATATCGATTGTATAAAATTATAGCATTTATTATTGTTTTTTAGAGAGTCTCCTGTAGTAGATAATCCTAAGACTATAAGAAATCTTATTAGAAATATTGGTGGTGGATCGAGTCCAATTTTAAGTAGAAAAGCCACCGGTAGTATTAAGAAACATTCTGAAACGGATATAAACATAACGAAGAGAGCAAGTACGAAAGGAAGAATTCCATCTTTGAGTAAATCCGAGGCTGTAGCCAAAAGAAGTACAAGCTGTGACTCAAGATTATCTAGGAAAAGAGATTCTTCTGTCGACGCTGGCAGAAATTCTAAGCCCAAAGATAAATTAGACGGAAGTTACATCCTCCTCAGTCAAGTAATTACAATGAGTCTTTTACATCGTAAAATTTAATCATCCTCACTTTAATACTTTTATGCTTACAATTATGTTCTGAGCATTTTTACGAATTATTATTCAGACGAGCTATAATTTGCAATAAATAAAAGTGTAAAATTAATTTACTTTTAATAGAAATCTAAAAGTTGATAAAGATGAGATGAAAAGTCCTTGCATTTAATTACATTTCTGTATTCTCACTCTAAGTGCATTTATTTATTTTAGTTTATTAGATTAGATGTTAGCAGATTTCTAGAATATTTGGTGTGCCCTTTGAAAGATCCAGAAGAAATTAAAATTTAGCTTAAATTATATTTTTTAGGAAGAATATATTGAACACAAAACGTCCATTATTCAATGTAAAAGTAATGCTAGTGGTTCTTATGTTGCAACCGGAGATGCAGATGGCGTTATAAAAATTTGGACACCAATTCCATCACCAAAGTGAGCACGCCATTCTATATTATTATCTATATTATTAAAAGTAATTTGTAATTATAATTATTATAATTCATTTAATTAATATTTCTATCCAAGTGTTTGCGATCAAGTAATTTCTCATCAATTTCTCATCAATTTTTTCATCAATTTTTTGTTTATTCCTCCTGACAAGTTCTGTACAAATTTAACTTTAATAGAACTCTGCTGAAAATAGACATTATAATTTGTTTTATTATTCAAAGTTATCCTTTCATTACGGTGTTGTTGATACTTCACGAACATTATTCAATTTTACATATCAATTTTAAACAATCTAATGATGTGTAACGAGTATCGCTTATTCTGGTAATAATGTAAAACTTTGCTTTTTAATCAAAGATCTTATCATTTTAGAACCGTGGCTACTTTTACATCCTCAACTGCAAATTCAAACAAAGCTGTGACAGCCCTCGACTGGATATCCAAGAACGAACGTTACTTCATTCATGGTGACAATAACGGCGCGATTCAACTACACGACACGCGCGATTGCAAAACAATTTGGGAGATTCAGCACGAAGGGTCGCGTATCGTCTCCCTCGTTTGTAATCCGAACGACTCGAGTTTCGTCTGCTCGGTTTCGGACTCGGGCGAAGGCAAACTTCTGCTCTATAATATTAAGACTAAAAAAATCGAACGAACCCTGCCACTGGAGAAAAACCTCACCGCGCTCTGCTCGAGTTTCAACCATAACGGACAGTTATTGGTAACTGGACTGTCTAATGGCAATGTTCTCATACACGATTTGAGGAGAAACGAGATAATTGATAACTTGAGTTGTCACTCGAGTCCAGTTATCGACATCGAGCTTACAAATGATTTTACGAATATTTGTGCGTTGAGCGAAGACGGAAAGCTGTGCCAAAGGAGCTTGAGCCAGACTGGCAAGATTGTTTGGGAAACGAAGATTAAGATAGAGAAAAATGCCGTTCATGGAAAGCTTTTTACATTTGATCAGAGTGGCACGCACATGCTGCTTTGTACGCAAAACGGGGGTAATATTTACAAGGTACGCAATGCTGAAATTTCCATTTCTTAAGTTTTATTTTACTTCTATAGGATTGTAATCACTTCAACAGAAAATACCTAATGAATAAATTTACAATCACGTGGAAATATAATTAACATTGTTATCCAGTTATTATGCTTTATAAATATTTAATTTTATTAAGACTATTAAATAATAATTATATGTAAACAATAACGATTAAATATTTCAACAGATGCCACCGAGTCCTCAAGCAAAAATTTTAGAATTAGGTGGACACAAAGGGACACTGTGCTGCGATTGGTCAACTGCTAATCAATCTGGCACTTGTATTACTGGTGGTGCAGAGGGTAAAGCTCGAGTTTCCACATTACTTTCACCATGATATAGAAATAGAATCAGCATTTGTATAAATTCATAATGTATAAATTTAATACGAAAAGATGAGCCAATGTTCTTGTATATACAAGGGAGCTGTAAAGTGCAAATATGTCAAATAGATAAAATAAAGATTTAATTTAAATACAAATTCCATTGTATTTTTATTATTCTTCTTTCCACGCAATTTTAATACGCGTAAAAGTATAAGAAATAAAATTTTAAAAATTTACCTCAAATACAACATTTAACAAGCAAGAAACTTCATGTGTGGCTTTCTTAATGACCAGCGGTGAAAAGGTCCTGTCATTTCTAGTTGAGGTGACCAGTAGCGACGTAAGGCTTCGCTAACTTCTGATGGAGTTATTGGTTTTGTCATTACAGGCTGTAAATAGATTGTACCTCTCATGTATTCAAGAAATTATAAATTCGAATTATAAATAACCGTTTAAGTAGCATTCAAAATAATCGCTTAAAAAGCATATTTTGCTTTTCAAAAAAAATTCAACATGTAAGATAATTATTTCTCAGAATGCTAAAAGTTAACGAACATATGTGTAAATTGTTTCATTGTGTTTATCATTAAATATATAAATATAAATATTACTTTTGTGTATTGATATGGCTTGTATGTAATAGGATTAGGATAACTACATCGCAGTCTATCTATTGCATCTCCATGAATTTTATTCTGATCTTGTCGTACTAAAAATGCAAGATCAACGATTTGAGCAACAGTTTCGTACGCTAAATAACCTAAGACTGTGTAACCAGATTTTGCTATTGTGAAATCTCCTACAAACAAATTATAATTATCAGAATGTAGATGGGAAGATGGAAATCTTGTTGTAAAAGCTTTTAAAACCTACCACTCGAACCAATCCAGTCACTAAATTTGTGTCTATTCTTATTTGCAAAAGAAACGCATCTGGCTTTGCTGAATTCTAGATATCTTGTTTCATCCATTTTTCTTGTTAATAACTCTGCTCTAATGCATCTTTTACGCTTAACGTGATCGATTAAAGATTTATCATTTAACAATTCACCAGTATTGTCTATGTATTTTAAAAACTTTATAAATGGTAATTTTGAAATTTCATCTGATTTATTAGGATCTGTTAAACTGTCTACAGAATCTGATTCCAGTGGTTTACATATCGATGCTTTAAACTCCTTCAATTCTAAAAAAGAATAATTAGAAAAAAAGTTTGTTCTTAATAAATTGTCTTATTTTTATATTACATTCCACATTCAGTTTCGATTAATTAATAGTCAATTACAAGAAAAATTATAATAAGGAAGTTATGCATAGAATTTATTCAAAATCTATAATAAAAGTATAAATACGTTGTTAATAAAATTAATATCATCCATATTTGAAAACAAAGCATTTACAAGTACTTTCATTTTAATTAAATATATTTAAATATTTTTGCATTATATTTTGCATTCAAGAATTTTTAGGATCTTACTTAGATAATTAACAAGTCGCTGTAACTTAATCCGGTCTTTTCGCAACAGAAATAAGAAATCTTCCGCAGTCACAGACTGGCTTTCTCTCAAATCAGCAACTTCACAAGCTTTATGAATAATTGCTCTCATTTGATTTAATACAACATCTTCGATAATTTTTGCCGTTTCCAATAAAGGTTCTGAATGATCTCCAAAGCCATGCATCATCTGTCTAATTTCTGAAAGAAATATTTTACATTTTACAATATTTGTTAATATTTCTAACCTAAGTACAGGTTTATATAAAATTTCAAAAACATACCAGCCGTATAGTTAACAGGTTCGTTTTTATAATCATTATTGTCAACGACTGGTTTTACAAATGTTGCTTCTGACATGATGTCTTATTCTATTAATATCATACAATACTATTAAGTGTCCTATTACATTCAATTACTACAAAGCGGAACGATGTATCATGGCGACATTAACAATGCTAACGACTTAGGTGTCGCACTGGCTACCGTTGCTAAAATTTCTAATCCATTCACAGAGTTTATCGCACACGATTAAATATTTAAATTAATAATTTCTCTAACCATTACTAGCAACGACCTACAATCACTGCTAACTTATTAAGAAATTATCAATCTATCTATGAATTGTCTTTGTACTAAGCCATTAACATTGATTTGATTGCTAATTATTATTATAATCTTAACGCCACTGTTAATTATTATTTTTCTTTTTAGTTAAAATAAATATAAAAAAAAGTTCCAATATGCTTAAATCGTGTAATATAATTTGATAATTCACCATAGTTTGTAGTGATGGATGATGTATTATTGACTGCGAAAGTGAAATCCAATTAATTTGGGCCTTTATCGCCTATATAAAACGGTTTAAGATTTTTCATCTAATTTATCGATTAAATTTTCAACATTCCATTATATACATTTACCTTAGAAAATATTCATAAAATTCACGCTATTTTCTTTATCTTAATGACTTAAATTAAAAAAAGGATGAATATGTTTTTAAATGTTTTTTGATAATTTTGGCATTTTATGTTTAAATATAATTAATTATAATACCTTAGTTGTATAAAAAATGTATAAAGGAACACCTATGGTAATTAATAATGATAGAATTATTTTATTCGTGATAAATATTTGTGTACAATATTTATGTTAATTGTTACAATATAATTATTTACAGTACAAAGGCAGACACAATTATTTTATAATTCATGCAAACATTTATTATATTCTATTTATTTCTTCTTTGTCTTTATAAAAAAGTGTATATACTCGCATATTAACATAAGTATTGCAAAACCAACGCCACTTATAAAAATTATCAAAATAGGTACGATGCTCCAAAAACTGACGGGCCAATATTTTGAATTCAATATTATTGAATGTTGTTGATATCTATTACGAAGGACTTTCAAAATACCGAAGGCCCGAAAATTTTCAATACTGAAAGAATAAAAAAAAAATAAAATATATATATATATATATATATATTTGTTAATTAACTATTCAATTTTCATGATTTTTATACTTAATTTTAAATAATGTATACATATATGTATTAAAAATATTTATAAATAAAAGGTAAAAAATAATTATTATAAATTGATTATGAAGTTGTCAAAATTGCTTTTATATGTTTAAGATTGAATGTATGAATGAAGTAACGATTAAAATCACTAATTTAAAAAGATTTTATGCTATAAAAACAAAAAAGAAAAGAAAAAAAAAATTGTTATACAAAAAAAAAAAAATAAAAACAAAAAAAATAATAAAAGAATTGATAAAATTTAATTAAAATTTTGAAAATCCAATAAAATACGAACGATTAAACCGGTGTTTTTCAATTATCTTTTTTTTTTTTTTTCAACTAATCTACACGTTAAAATAAACATTAACTAATTATTATATGTCTTCAGTGAAACTTCTGAAAATAGTATTTATTTTGAAATACATCGATCAAATTTAAATTTATTTTAACTTAAAATATTTTGTAATAGGCATTGCCAATAGTTTTTGCATGATTACTTACTAAAAATTTATAATTTTTTTATACGGACTATTTTTAATCAATGCAAATGATTGACTATCTGGACGCCCCATATCAATGGACATTAATGGACAAGGATTTCTCGGATTATTCTTGTTCACAAATATTTCATTCATGTAAAGCACAACTTTCTGTGTACAAACTTGATGAAGTGCTTCAATCATAGTAGTTGGAAGGTCTTTTGAATTCACTAGTCGTTTTTTCATTAGTTTTACAATAGGATGCTTGGATTGCTTTGATAAATATGCGATATTTAAAAATTAATTTCATGATTATAAAAATAATTAAAGTATTCTTAAATTAAATTAAATAAAAATCATTGTTATTAATTATGACCCGTGTATATGATTTTTTTTTTTTTTTTTTTTTTTTTTTTTTTTTTTTGTTAATTATTTACAATTAGAAAGAACTTTGTTGATAGCCAACTTTTATAATCACATTTTTCTAACTATTTTGATATTTTCTTATTACTTAATAAGAACTTTATGAAGCATTTGAATAATTTAAATAATGAGCTAGCCTTTTAATTTTATAGGCAAAAAAAAAAAAAAAAAAAAAAAAAAAAAAAAAAAAATAAAAAAAAACTGTGAATAATATTAACGAATAGATTATTATTGCAACGAATAATGCATTTTTTGTGAAAGTTTAATTAATTAAAATAGATCGTGAAGAATATCTAGTATGAAATATTGTAATAATTTATGAAAATTTTTGTGTTATTATTTACTTTGACGTTTTATGTATAATTCACCTGAATTCTATTGGAAATAACGCATATAGATAATTGTTAATAATGTAAATATATTAGATTACACATAATAATATATGTAGATGTTGTGAATGTAATTTAAAATAAAAAAAAAATTAATAAATATCTTGGTACCTGAATTGAATCGTGATAAATACTTCCTCGAAATACAGTTAAATTGTAGGAAGAATGTAATAAAAATTCTTGTTCGGTGGTAAATGGTAAACTTGGCTCAAAGACAGTGATAAAGCTGGTTAATGTTGCAGAATAAGTAATATGAATGACTATAGATGAGATAAATAACGATGCAAATGCTAATTTTAACGATGTTGCTGAGGGAAACTCTAATTAAAAAGTAATTTTAGATACTAAAAAAATGCAACTTTTTGGTATGAAATTTAATATTTTTTATATATTATATATATTTTTTAGTCAAAATATTGATTCGGTATTATCGAATCATTAAATCGAACTTATTAATAAAATTACAGATTGCATTTGTATTGCATTCGTTAAAAATAAAATAAAATAAATTTAAAAATAGTTTATAAGAACAAATAAATTACAAATTTATTAACGGATTTAATACTCATAAGTTTCATGCATATTTCTTTACCTGGAAGTCCTTGCTGGCATTGCATTCCCCAAATATGGAAACAGTTCTCAGAAATAAGTGCAATAACATTTTTTTTACCCAGTTTAGACATCATTATTGCAATTACAAGTGAGCAGAATGTCATGAGAAATATATTTGTCGCCCATATTCTTGTATTAAATATCTATATATAACAAATTTTTAATACACAAAATAAGAAAGTAAAGATTAAATATGAAATAAATTTATAAATTGAGCTTTCAAATACAAAACACTATGTATTATTTGTTCCTCGTATTTTTGTTCATAATTAAAAAACTAATCTCTGTCTTAATATTAATTAATTATTAATCTTATATATTGTAATAATATTTATAATACGCAAGTAGTAAGCATGTTATTATAAAAATAATAGTAATATAGGTAAGTGTTAAGCAAGCCATTATGAGATATTATAATCGATTACCTGTACATACGAGGACCACATTATAGCAGTCATATTAGGACGTTTCAAATACATATTAAAACGCGTTATTGAAAGTGGCACCGAGAAGTCAACAACTTCCAGTCGACGTTTATTGCGGCTGAATTCGGCCACACCGATATCGATTTCTTTCGATACCAATCGCCCCATTACACCTGACCAATTTTTACTATCAGCATAATAGTGTCCAAACATCTGTTCGGACGTAACTAAATCAACCGTAAAGTTCATTACATTCGACAATTCTTGTAGAACACTTCCAAATAATCCACTTAATGAAGTATTTTTAAAATCTGAATTCATGTAGTCGTCGCGCTATAAATACCAAATTTAAGTTATTTTAAATGAAAATATTTATATTATTACATATTAGTTACAATTATTTTTCAATAAGATATATATATATATATATATATGTTTTTGTTTCAAAGCGTAAAATATTCAAATTCCAAAAGTCCATGATAATTATTATATTTCATTCTTAAAAATATATTGCTTTATTATTGTAAACGACAACATAATCTATACAACTGTATTAATAAACAATAACAATTCTTTTAAGATATAAATAAAGAAATTAATATATATATATATATATATATATATATATATATATATATTTAATGGGAATTTTTTTGTTAATAGTTTTTTTAATAAAAGAGAATAACTGTGGATCTTGCATTGTGGATTGCAACAGATGTGTGTACGTGAGCTAATTTCGAAATTTTTTATATCCCAAAATAAATGTTTCCCAAAATAAATTTTAATGGATTAAAACTATAATTTATGAATAATAGCTTTGAATATATCATTAAAATGCTATTTAATCTGAATATGAATAGTGTTATAATTTAATAATAATCTTATCAATTGTATTATATTAATAATTATATTAAGAATTATATTTATGAACTTTACCTTTACTGTTGCGATTCGAAGTCGTAAACCCTCTAAAGAGCTTCGATTCTTCCATATAGATTGATTGTTTATTTTTATAAATCTATTTTCATTTGTCCATAATGCAATTTCATTTACTTTCACTTCGTCCTTAAATAGCGAGTACCACTCTTTAATAATATGATCATTTTCACATTTTATCAACATTTTTGTGTTGAAGGCAATGTTAAACAAATTCTTATGGGGTGCATAACAAAATTGTAATAAATCATCCGATTCGCCGAAAAAAACTAGCCATAAATTTAAAGACATACTGAAATTTTTAGCAAAATCGGCAAAATCATTAAAATCTTTTTGAGAATTCAAGCTGATAGTGTATAAGGGTAATGACGTCTGATATTTATTGTGATTGAAATATTTTGTAAGTTCGCTTAATTTCAAAGTCAGAGTGAAAATATTGCTTTTGGAAAATTCTCGAGATAGTTGAAATAACGTCCTTATGGTTGCAGTGTCTGGTAACAATTAACAATGTTATGTCAATGTTTTAACGAGCACAATTCATTGGCATGTAAAAATAGTATAGAATAATACAAAATATAATGCTTTAATGAAATACATTGTGGCGTATTACTTTTTCATTGTTTACTTTAAATTTATGTGTAAAGATAAAAGCAAATTTTAAAGCACAAATTTTTTTACTTCTAATTAAATTATCTATATAATAGTATTTTATATCTTAGTATTAAGATTATGTGTGTTTTTATTCATTTGTAAAATATATAATCTGATATGTTTAATGATTATAAAACATGGCGAACAATAGTTTATGATAGATTGTGAAAGGTGTGCTATTATTACACGAAGTAAATTAATTATTAAGATAAAAATTTTTATTTAAGTTTTGATTAATGTGTAAATAATCGACAATACTCTTACCTGAATTTTTATCATTATACACATTAAGAATGCTGGAGGCTTGAAAATAATTTTTGACATCCGAGGCAACATATACATAATTTTCAAGTTGCGAATTCATTTTTGCATTTATTTCATTATATCCTAAATTAATGACTAAAAAATAAATCAGCCATAATAACATTATACTATACATTGATTAAAATCTGTAGATATGCTTTAGAGATTAAAATATTATATATTTATTTACAATATTTACAGATCTTGAAGTACACTAAAATACTTAAAAAAAAAAAAAAGAAATACTAATAAATAGTTTTAATATAAATTTTTTTTTTCTTTTTTTTTTCGCCTAATTATTATCTGCTGCGAATCCAATGGTTTGTTGTTCTCTATTGTGTGATATCGCGCTTAGCTCAAGTTACTAGAAAAAATGTACTCTATAAGGAGCAATTGTAGAGCCAAGCCGATACCTAAACATAAGATTTCTAAAATCGGTAAGATATCCCAAAAAGCAACGGGTAAATATCTAGAATCTACCGAGTTGAATTTCTTATAATATCTTCGCTTTAAGCATTGCAATATTCCATTAGCTCGCAACTTTTTCAAACTGAAAAGTTTTACGATACTATACAATATGTAAAATTTGCCATTAAATTTAGTTGATATTAAAGCATGAACAATAATCTCTGTACGACCAACAATATCAAGAGCCATATCAAATCGATTATTCCATTGCATAATTTAATGTATGTAATTTTTAATTGAGTGAATAATTTGAGTGCAATCAACTAATATATCCATCATATAGAATAAATTAATTTTGTCGATTCAAATTATTACAATAAAGTTACGATAATCTTTTAAATCCATTTGATCCATTTAATTCGAATAACGATCAAGTTTTTTCGTTATATTTAAAATAATCTTGAAATGATTAATGCTCTTGATACAAATATATTTAAAAAATAATATCAGAGTCAACAAAATATTTTACCAAAGTCGGTCGTAACAAGGCAGTAATTTTAAATATTTATTAAAATTTTTGTATAAATTAAAGAGAAAATCATTTATTTGCTACTAATGTAAAATTTAAAAATGAATATCTATTATATTTATTTTATATTTAATATTCAAGTTCGAAAGACACATTGAAGTGCATGAATGTATATTTTATTAATATTTCAATCAATTCATAAAGTATAACTTAGAAAGGCAACGATTGTAGAATATCAGTCAAATAATTATAATAAACAGATTATGAAATGTGAAGAATGCTTTTCCGTATTCATGATCACGTTTTAAGTATGAATTTACATATTCATTGCCCCTGTCTAAATTACGTCTAAATATCTATTGTTTCTTATAATTATTTATACATATAATAATATGTTTTTCTTACTGGTAGTTGATAAATTCTGTGTATGGGCTTTGCTTTGCAACAGCTAATGCAATGCTGTCTAGTCTACCAGCTGTTAATGGCATTAATTCACACGGTGCATAAGCGGTGGCTTTTTCAAGGATTAACTGATTTGTGTAAAGTACAACTTTTTCATAACAAACCTAAATAATACATAACATATAGATACATTATATATATATATATATGTATGTGTGTATGTGTGTATGTGTGTATGTGTGTGTGTGTATGTATGTATGTATGTATGTATGTATATATATGTGTGTGTGTGTGTGTGTGTGTGTGTGTGTGTGTGTGTGTGTGTGTGTGTGTGTGTGTCGGGTCGATAAATGCTCTTATACAACAGTATTATTCTTTAATTGAAACATTCATCTTTTATGTACACATTTTCTGTATATTTTGTCATCTCCTGTAATCGGCTATCCCGATAATATGTACAAGTTGAAATATTTGTTTATAATAAAATACAAAGAATTTTTATTAACTCTTTTTAAATCATATTATCAGTTTTATTTATATATATATTATTTTTTTTGTTTTTTTTTTTGTTTTTTTGTTTTATTAAAACAAGTTATAAATAAATCTTACAAGATAAATAAATCTTAAGTATCATTTAAAATTATACACTGTACATCGTATAATTATTTGATAATATAAAGGCTTACTTGTTTTATTGCTGATAATATATCTGTAGGCAATTCATCATCGGCTTTTAGGAGTTTTCCCATTTTAGAATAAATAGATATTTTTGAGCTCTACAAGTTAAAAAATTGCATTAACCATTTCGATCGACCCTTATCATCATCATCATCATCTAATATTTCATAATTTTGTAAGTAATTCTTATTAAATTTAATGAATTTTATTTGCACATCAATATATATAATATTATGTGATGTATAATTTTTCTACAAATATTCTATTCTATTTGAAATTTGTTTAAAAATACGCTAGATATCTTAAGTAAAAAATTGCAAATAAAAAGAAGATTTTCAATTATTCAAGCAATATTAAAATAGATGTAAGAATGTACCTTAAAGAGATCATAGTTGGAGCTATATCGAAATATTATAAGTTTATACGTTCCATCTGCGACAAATCCTTCAAAAGTATTAAAGGGTATACTAGGTTTAAAAACTGTTTGATAGCTCGTGAGATAAGCCGAATAGACGGCAAAAAGAACCATAGATGACATAAAAATCGATATGTAAGCTATTCGTAATGAGAGAGCCGATGGTAAATCTAAATTTACATAGGCACGATCAATTAATTAATCAACTATTTGCCTGCCTTTTCACAGTAATTTTTCTTGCACTATATTATTCTTATTATTTAGCACCAAAGTAAATACTCATTTCAACATATTGATCTAATTGTGAATTAGATAACTTTATACGTCCATCAAAATGACAGCAGTGATAAATGTTTACATTCGTATTGAACTATTTGTTAATTAATTATTCATCGATGTAATAATGTTTATGTATAAAGTTACATTTAAGTATACCGATCGGAATTATAAAATTATTAAAAAAAAAAAAAAAAAAAAAAAAAAAAAAAAACAATGATTTTTCATTAAAATAATAATTATCTCTATTTTATTATTGCATTAACATGAACATTAGCACTTCAATATTCAAATATGATTGAATAAATAAGTAAATTAATGAACAAACACGCTTTCTCATATATTTCTGATATAAATGGCGTCAAACGACGATTTATGTATATTTAATTTCACGTTTGTATAAAAATGACATACACAATTATTAAGAATTATTATTATTTATTAAAAATTTGACAATAAACGTGTACAAATTTAATAATTTACTACAGATATTTTACTTTGAATGGAGGTATAAAAATTTATAAAAATAATAAAGTATTTCGTGTCGAGATGTTATTAACTAATTGTAATTTCACAATCTATATTTAATTTTAATTAATATTTAATTACCTGGAAGTGGTTTTTGACAATAGATACCCCAAACTCGAAGATACTCTTCTACTATGTAATACGTGATGTCGTAATTTCTTACAACTTTCCACATCATAGCCAATAATATTGGAATGAATAATAAAGTTGTCAATATTATTATCCATATATCTAAATGAAAAGCCTGAAAAGATTGAAAATTCTTAATTGAGAAGCATTATTGTGTTGGGAGATAAAATATTTGCTGGAAAGAGTAACAGCGAGATTTTCCTAATAACGATAATAATAATTATATCAATTAATTAAAACAATAACAATAACATTATGATTAATACGAGATTATAAAAGCAATGGAACTTGGCTCTGAAACTTGGCGCTCTTCCTAATTAGTCATATAATACACTTAAATCGAAATTAATTTCCATAAAAAAAAAATGTCTATATTGCGCATATTTTCTTATAACATTGGACGACATTTCACCAGCTCGTAATAGAACAACTGGCCAGCCAAGCCAACTCTTTATTCAATCAAGCACATTGAGAATAACAGAGACATCGAGAAAGCTATAGGAAATTTGTAGGTGCACCTTAACGTACGTCGACCAGCCGATATTCGACATACGGGGACGTTTGATGTAAATATTGGAAGTGGAGCGCATAAGTGCGACCGAATAATCGATGACGGCCGCTCGCTGCTGATTCATAGTGAATTCGCCGATTCCAATATCGATCTCGCGCGATACCAATCGTCGGATGACGCCAGTCCATTCGTGCTTCGTTTCGTTCCAGCTGCCGTACGAATCCTCGACCGACGTGAAATCGATCGTGAAGTTCATTATCTTGGAGAGTTCCGTAATTACGACGCCGAAGTAGCCGCCCATTGTACTACCTCTGCCCAATTGCGTTGTCGAGTCCTGCGTTCAGTAAGCGATTTTTTTGTTTGTTTTTTTTTGTTTTGTTTTTGTTTTTGTTTTTTTTTGTTTTGTTTTTGTTTTTGCTCGGTTTAGCTCTTAGTACATCGAGCTAACGAACGGGGAGTTTATTACACGGATAGAATTGACTGTAGAGGCAGTAATACGTGGATAAAAGTGTTAACGAATGGCTGATAATGAACGATATTATATAGGGTGATAATATGTATTTTAACAACGATTAATAAATCGATTGAATCACAGCCGAGGCTATTAAAAAAATATTTTCATTATTGCAATTTTAAAATACAAATGAAATAAGTTCCTAAAGGAACTCCGCTGTTTCCTTCCAATGATTATATATAATACGTAGTAATAAACTTTTGCTAAGAATTGAAATTGTAAAATTTTAGATTCTCGAATGAATTAACTCTACGACTAGTTCTTCCCGATTTCGATAAAAATTTGAAAACTCTTCTGCTCATATTTCAAAAACTTAAAATATTTACTTACGAATTTAAAGGATCGTTTCATTGAATTTATCTATTATTATTATTTTCTTTTCTAATAATTTGTTATATATAAAAAAATTTTTAAATTATTGAAGAAAATTCTCTATAAAATAGATATTTATATTATGCTTAAATACAATTAGAATAATTATTACTTTAACTGCGGCAACTTTTAAAGTAATTCCTTTCAAATTATTTCTCCTTTTGAAGAAAGTTAAGTTCGACAGCTTTCTCATGCCTTTTCCAAAGCTCCACGTTGCATAATCGAATATATCGATCGTCTTCTTGTTGATGGAGTACCACTCCCTTAATATCGGATCGTTGTAACACTTGACCAACATTTTCGTGCTCACGCCGAGATTGAACAGATTTTTGTGAGGATTATGACAGAATTCATTCAAGCCAGCGTCTGGCGAGTCCATAAAAATCAAGAGCCACTCGTGCAGAGCCATATTGTAGGTCTTAGTCATGGCGGCAAATTGATGCACATCATTTAATGTCCTGAACATTACGACAAACAGAGGCTGTACAGCCTTCCCCTTGTAGTATTCTATTTCTTCATGAATTTTTATTATATTTAAATTTCTTGATAAAATATATTTGCGCGAAAATTCCTTAGTCATCTTTGTCATTAGTGTTGATTCAGGTCCATCTAAAATCGATATTATTTAAAAGTTACACTTTCTAGTTACTTTAAGCTTTAAAGAAGCGTCGAACTGGATACGATCTCATATGAATATTATCATAAAAGTTTGATAAAAAAATAAACTGTCGACAAACTAATAATCAAATTATCAAGTTAATCTACATTTTATTTTAACTATATTAATTATACTCGTATTTAAGTATATTTCATTACATTTGTGTGTCTATGATAAAGAACGGCCGTAAATATTAGAAATAGTGAAAAATAATCAAAATAATTAAAAATTATCAGAAAAGATGTAACGTCATTGCTAATTATTGACATCAGTATGTGCTTTTGCCGATTATAAACTTCACGGCAATAATACATGTAATAATTAATTCGTAATTTAAATAATAAAATAATTATTAAAATAATCTTAATACAATAATATAGAACAACAATAATATAAAAGATTAATAACACATTAATAAAGTAAATTAACAAAGCTTTAAATAAAGTAAATTAAAGGAAATTTGATTAATAATAAAATACCATAATATCAAGACTATATAAATGAAGGTTTTTATTTACTTAGATGCTCTCCGACATTTACAATAAATACACTAGATGCTCTATTGGATTTTTGAACATCTGAAGCAAGATGCACATACTGCAAGGCCATTGAATTTTGTCGAGTATTTTCCTTACTTGCACACAATGTTATTGAAATTATTAAGCTAAAGACCAACAGCATCCTTAAAGGAAACGAATCATTTGCGTTCAGCTGGTATTTCTAACTACACTAAATATTTTACTTGAACATATTTCATAAATACAATTGTTAGATTCAACTTCAATATATATATATATATATATACACACGTGTGTATGCTTGTGTATGCGCGCGCGTGTGTATACACATACAGAAGTACATAAAGCATATGCGCTCGTGTACGCAGCTATCCACGCACCTCACAACTACACACGCATCCGCTCACCCACACAAGACAAAACAAAATATATTTAGAGCAAGTGGCTACATAGAGGAAGTGTACACTTAGAGGCAATCGCGAATAAACGTTATTTTTTTATGTTCCTTAATATTTTGTTATTTTATCGAGTATACGATCATGACAATATTCTTATTTGTAATGTGCTCATCATTTTCTAATTACTGGTTGAACGATTGACGAGAATGAAACCCCATTTCCTTTTTTTTGTTATTTTATTGCCGACTAGATGACTAAAATAGGGTACATATATATATATATATATATATGTATATATATATGCGCACACACACACACACACACACACACACACACACACATATATATATATATAAGTACTATATAAATTTCCGTTTATCGCTCCACTATATCTACGTTATTAAAGTACCACTTTAACATGTGTACTATTTATTTATTCCGGCTTACGCTTAATATATATATATATATATATATATATATATATATATATAACAATATATTATCGCATACATACAAATAAATTTGTAATTTTATGTAGTAGCCATTCTAATTATTTATCATTGCATATTGATAATTAGTAATTATTACATAAATTTTACTTAATAATCGCGAGTTCCTTTTCACTTCACTTTATTTATGTAAAGAAGAAGATTTACAATTTGAATGAATAATTTATATTGATCTATTACATTGTACAATCTGATAAAATATATTTGGTGATAAATCAAATCTTTTCTGTCAATAAGAAGACATTGTGATTAAAGATAACATATTAATAATTAATATCTTTATTAAAATAATAATTTTTATTTATTTTTATTATTGCATTTTATGTATTTGCTATCATTTAAAATAAATATATTGACATTTATATAGTTCAAAAAAGTTTTATCATAGTATTAGTTATATTAATTTTTATTTTATAGTAACTTTAGTTTATTATTTTATATTAATAGTTTATTTTATATTTGTACCTGCAATATTATATTCTTCTAAAATAGTATAGAATAGCCAGACATAAGACACTTAAATTTATTTTAAAATATTTATTTTACTCATCGAATCAACGGTTTCCAATAGTTTGTTTTTGATTTTGAAAATTCGTGATGTCGTATAGTATACATAGAATATATGTGAAAGTGAATCTTTTCACAAATTAAAATCAATAAGGAGAGTAATATTCCAAATAATAAAATTAAAAATATAGGGATACTAGTTATTAAATTAACGGATTCATAATTTAATGCAATGGATTCAAATTTTGTTTCATAACGTGTTCTAAGAACATGAAGAATGCCATAATCTCTAAATTTTTGTAAGCTGAAATCAATAATATTATTTTATTGTTAATTACTATTAGAACTTTATTTTATACATTTATAATAATTGTTAGTTTAAAAAAAAAAAAGAATTTGTACAAATCGTGAGAGCAGCCATTTATAAATATTTACATATAAAGAAAAATGACGTTATGAAATTTATTCATACTCACTAATAATTAAATAATGACGAGTAAGGGCTATTTTTCATAAAAGTAAACGCCATATTGACTAAATGTTCTTGATCAAATGCTACTAATTCGCAATTAGAAGGCATACTGGTTCTAACGCCCCAATCATCCATTAAAAATATTACCTTCTCACCTGAGCATACCTGATAAAAAAAAAAAAAAAAAAAAAAAAAGAAAGAAAGAATGTAAAATTACGAATTTTAATATTATTATATAAAATATTTGTAAATTACCTGATCGATAGCACCACCGACAGTGGATTTTAATTCGTTATAATCAAGAACGAAGCTTTTTAATTTTCTTGATAAATAATTTTTTTCATTCTGAAATGTAACGTTTTTTTATTTACGTTTCTTTTTATCATCAATCTCAAATGTTTGTTGCACTAATATACATACGTATAAATTGTTCATATAGCTTGTATGTTTAACTACTGTTATTTTATATGAACCGTCATTAATAAATTCATCTAGTGAATTGAATATCATTTTGGGTTTGAAAATTGTTGAATGACTCATAAGAACGGCAGCGTATATTGCATAAATGATAAAAGATAATATATACAAAGCTGTATATGCTATTTGTAGTGGTGAAGTACTTGTAGTACCTAGCTTATATAAAATTCATTAGAAATTTTTTTTTTTTTTTTTTTTTTTTTTTTTTTTTTTTTTTTTTTTTTTTTAAAGAAAAGCATTTTACAATCTAATATTCAATTTATAATTAACATTAAATAGAGCGTAGTATTTATTTAAAGTCATAACTCGCAACCTTTTACATGATTAATAGTGCTTACATTGTAAAATTAATTAGATACAGAATTGTTTTTTTTTTTTTTTTTTAATATCACTTCAATTTACATTTAATTAAAGAGTTACTAGATTTTAGATTTTAATTCTTATATTATAAAATGTTATTCATTTTTGTGGTTTTTAATAATATGAAAAAATGTCTTCCATATTTGTACGTAACTACTTTATTCTCAAGAAAAGGTTTTGTTAAAAAGAAGTCATAGAAAATTACATCTCTAGTATTAAAATAAAAAATAATTTAAAACTCTCCTTTAAGTTCATTAAATATTTATTATGTTAATTATTCGATTTATTTGTCAATAATACCAATTAATTGCATGTTACAGAATATTGCCCAGCTATCTAAATAATATTCTCGAATGGTTTTCCAAAAACTATTAATATTGTTTACATTATTTTTGTCAATATTATTTAATTTATTTTCATTAAATTTAATGTATGCCAGTGTTAAAGATCCCATAATCAGTATAAATATCAGAGAAATTCCGGCTTGTAGACTAAATGGCTGAAAAATATTGAAACAAAAATTTGCTTATTATATGCCATTAGACATAATATTAGAAAATGTAAAAAATTAAAATAAAATCTACTAGTTATAATGAAAAACTACAAACTCAAATATTTAACATATTTGTAGAAATATGACAGTTTTAACTCTTAATATCAAAACTCTTTTTATGTCATTTTCTTCATTAAAATTAAATAAAATGAATTTAGAGCACAATATAGATATATTACCTTATAATACATTGACCATTGAAGATTCTGACTATTATTTGATTTTTTAAAATAATAATTTAAATATGATGGAATAATTGGTAGAGAAAAATCTACAAAAGTCGATCTTTCAATCGTTTGAGCAATTTCGCCTATTGCAACGTCGGTTTCATTTCTCATTACTTTTCCTAATAATCCATTCCATTGCTTTGTAGTCGCATTATAAATGCCATAAACTTTTTCTAATTTTTGATAGTTTATTGTAAAATTAGTGTTAACCGCAATTAATTCTAATACATCTTGGAATAATCCACCGATACTTATATTGGATGATAAATTTGCCGAGTATTTCTAATTTAATTAACAATAAAACTTATATGGAGTTTTATACATAATTAATAATTATATAGTTGAAACATCTTAAATTTAATTGTAATATAATGCGTTAAATTCTATTAATTACAGTATATACGTTAAGTAAAGATTTTCATGTAAGACATAAAAAATGTACAAACTGATAATAAAGATAATGTAGAAGATTTTCACAATATTACGAGTACAATTGATCGAAAATTAATGGATAACACAGACAATAGAAGAGTAGACTAAAATTTGGGAAAAAATTTATAAAAAATTTTTAAACCCGTTAAACTATAATCTTATAAGAACGCATCTTTAAAATTAAGAAATAAAATATGTATAAAATCTGAAGATGTAGATTATATTTTTATAAATTAATATTTTCTATTAATATGAAATATGAAAAGTTCATTGATGTAAAATAAAGAGATGAGTTTTCTCTTTATTATTACAAGGCAAATAGTAAATAATATCACTACTCTAATTATGTTTTTGTTTATGTTATTGTTTTTTTACCTTATCTTATTAAAATTAATTATATATCCTCAATTATTACAAAAAAATATTTAAACGATAATTTGAAATAAAAATACTTAAACTTTATAGCTTTAAATTAAATTTTTTTTTTTTTTTTATGTAATTTAATACTAAGTAAAAATTATATCGAGTTGAAGAAAGAAAACAATATATTTAATCAGCATGTCTAAAAAAATTTATAAAATAATTGAAGTAAATGGGGTGATAATAATTAAATTTAATAATAAGTTAAAGTATTTTTAAGAAGTAAAAGTTTTCTTATAAACTTGATTTTTCGCATTAATAATATTATTAAAAATTATTTATTAATTAATTAATACATGACGATTAAATACATGACGACATAGATACTGTAAATTTTTATTTATTTATTTATTTATTTATTTTTTTTTTTTAATTTTTCTATGTAACTCGTCGCTGTACTACAATATAATGTTGTTACTTACTTTTAAATCAGTAACGCGTAAGCTGATACCCTTTAATGATTTTCGACGATTGAATATATTTTTAGAATTTGAAAGTACCAATCGTTTGCCTCTACTCCAAGTTGCTAATTCTAGAACTTCTATTTTACCTGGATGCAAAGAATACCATTCATATATAATTGGTGCATTATTTTTATTGCATAAAACGAATAGTTTGGTGTTGTAAAATACATTTAAATAGTTTTCTTGAGGATATAGACATATATTCATAAGACTGTCATCTAATGCCATTGAAAATATTATAAGCCACCAATAATTGTATGTTTTGCGTTGTTTTGTGATATTTATCAAATATGTGAAGTCTTCGAAGGATTTGAGGAATACAATTAAAAAGGGCTTCATAGATGTGTCATAAAAATTCATGGCCTTTACTAAATTTTTTAAATTTGTCGACATTGAAAGTTTATTGTTATTTGAATAGAATTTTAATGGTACTAAAATGGATGTAACATTGGTATCTATAAAATATATAATCATTTTTATTAAAATACAGTGGTATAATAATGTATATGAGAATATAAATGTATATTTATATTTAAAGTTTTTCATCAAATTATGTATAATGTTTAAAATATGGAATTTTTAAAATAATCGTTGAAACATTTAATCTCATCGGCTGCGTGTTTAAAAAGTTAAAAAAAAAAGAAAAAAAAAAATTACTATGCACAAGTATAGTTTCAACTTTATTAAATTGATTATTTTAATAAGTATTCAAATTAAGAGATTTAAAATTGTTTTTTTTTTCAGAATAATAATAATAAGGAAATATATCAATACCAACCATATTTAACATTATCTGTATCAATAACAAATAATGCACTTCGAAGCGCAAACACATTTTGAAAATTTAAGGCTATTTCAAGGAACATTGAAAATTCCGAATAAGCATATACAATTGCGAATATTAATGAAAATATAAAATATTTTGACAACCTCATTTTTATTGTTTAATAAAATAATTATTCAATAAATAATATGATTGAGCAAATATTTGTGAGCTTAAAAATAACTTTATTCTTACAGATGTCAACGATATCTGTATGATAGAATATTTGCTAAAATGATTCGAAAGTAATGTAACGTGTATGAATAATAAATATTTCTTTTTTCTTTTTTCTTTTTTTATATTTCAATGATTATTCGGTAATTAATTATAAATATATATATATATATATATATATATATTTATGAATTTTAATAATAGTCTGCTCTTATGCCATTTACCGTGGCCCGAGAAATTTTACATAAAAAATGCATTAAGTATAAAACTAAGAATAGATAATAGAAGTTTAATATATAATCAATCAAATTATAGGTTTCTTAGAATACGTTTTATTTGCAAACTTTGGCGACAGTTAAATAATATATTTTGAATTTTTTTCCAGTTAATATGAATAAATATATACTTTGCTTATGTCCTGTATTTTTCACTTTACGATTTACGGTAATACCATATTAGAAAATTATTCAACAACCTTTACGATAAATGTCATTATACAAAGAATCCATTAATGGAATACTATAATTTAAAATCTCTTTTCATTTATACAAAATTGAATATTATTGCATCTCATACATTACGTATGTTATTTAAAAAAAAAATTAAAAATCAATTTAAACAGTTAGAATATACTTCAATCTTATGAAATATAAATGTTTTTGTTTGTTGAAAAGTATATTTAATTTATTCATTATTATTATATGGATAAGCAAATTTAGTAGATAGAATTTTTTAGTTTCGATCTTACCAAAATTTCAAAACAATTTCTGATAAATATATTTATTGCATATTTCCAAGTGACCTTCAAATTCTTATTAAATTAATATGCTTATAATTTGATATACTTAAATTTAATGTTAAATTACTTATATTATATTTGACATTTAATTATCATTTAAAAAGAAAAACCTCTACTTAATAATATTTATTAAAAAACTATTTAACGCACCTAAAATTAGTTTTATTTAGTAAATCTCATTACATTTTAGCATATACCAAATTATTATAATATATCTTATTTATTATCTTTCTAATTGGAATTCCTTTGTAGATGCAAATTCAATAAATTTTATAAATATTACCATTAAATACAAAGTTGTATTTAATGCTTCAAGTACCATTTATTATTTGAATATTTTCTCAGAAATGACTTTATAAACGTATAAAATCTTCAAGGAACCTTTGTAAATAAGAAATTTTGAAAAGTAGTGAAATCTCATATATATATATATATATATATATATATATATATGTATAGGGTGATAATATTATTATACACAGTTTGTTTTTAAGGTTATTATTTGATATTTGAAATTCGGTAAGTCGGAAATATATCGTTTGTAATATTTGTTAATAATAATTAAATTAAATATACGCTCATTTAATATTTTCTTCATTCAATGTATTATATAAATCAAATTAAAATTTATATATAGAATTAAAAATTCGAAACTTGTATTCTGATTTATTTATTTTTTTTTACATTCTATGTAGAACTGCCTTTAATAAATTATTAAATATTTGTTATATTAAACTATAATAAAATCTGTGCCTCACATATTTTATAATGTAATTGAAGATATTTTTCGTGTTAAATACTCTGTACTTTTTATAATAAAATAAAAATAATTCAATTTATTTATTTTTATTCAGATATCTACTAAAGGACGGAGATTTTCAAAATTTGATTCGAGTATCACAAATTCGAATCATGTTCACCAATATTTTTATCATCATTCTTTTGAGTACACAGGTAATTTCGGTACGTAGAATTTAATTTTATATCAATAAAAGGAATTATCCATTTATTTTTAGTTCCATTAATTATTTCATAGTATGAAAAAGTCACTTGTCTTAGCATAAATGTATATTAATTTTTTTTTCAGAGAATAAATTCTCATTTACTTTATATTTATTTAAATAGTTATTGCTAATTGAATATTTCGTTATATCCTATGTATATTAATAGTAAATAGTTTAATGTTATAATATAAAATAATATAATTAAATAGTTGTTCTTTTTCATCAAAATTAGAGATAAATATATATTAAATTATTATTTATTTTATTTATTATTAAATTGTTATATAATTACGTAGGATAACTCAAATTTTATCAAAAAAGAAAATGTTGATGGATGGTGGAAAGACTTGCAGCAGGCTTTTCAACGTTATTATGAGCAAAGCAAGAACAGTTTCGATGATACGTTGAATGAAATCAAACGTCGAACCTTACAGGCAATTGAAATGGGCAAAGAAAAATTTTCAGAATTACAAGAGAAATATAATGAAATACAAGATAGTAATAAAACTTTAGATAATGAAAAAAATGTCTGGGAAAGTCGTCTTGAGGAATTGAAAGATCAGAGCTTGAAAACTCTAAAGAATATAAATGAAAAGTACGAGCAATTGAAGAAAAAAACTGAGAATGTTATAAAACAGCAACAGGAAATATGGCAAACGAAAATTAAAGAATTGGTAGAGGATATTCGTAAGATTGAAGAAAAAAAAACCGATATTAAGTAAACTTAAATACTAACTTGACATTATATATTCAACTATTCAAATATAATTTTTAGAAAGATAGAATCGTTCAATTAAATATTTCCTAAATTAACTATTAAAATTGTAATGCCATATGCTTACATAAAACGTTTAAAATCTTTTTGTTAAAATGTTGAAATTACTCTTTGTAATATATAAAATAGAATAAAATTGTAATTCAGGTTTATTTTTTAAAATCACCAAATACCTTCAGATAAATAAATGCTTTATATATATATATATATATATATATATATATATATATATATATATATATATTCTACCTGTTACTGTCACGTGTATGTTTATATTATAAAATAAGCATGAGAAACAAATGCACAAATTATACGATGAAAGTATTGTTGAGTAAAATACAGCTCGTAAGACAATAATAATTACATAATGATTCATTTGTAAGACATTTTCTCTTGTAGATAGATTTTATTTCATAATTTTCCAATATATTACATTCATATAGATAACAAAAATAATGCCTAACTTAGATAGATCGGCAATTCTTTCATGTAACGTGACGTAACATACATTTAAGCTCACGATAAAATGTACATACCACATTACTTAATAATGCATGTATTAATAATGTAACAATTGTTGAAAACTAATAATTATACTTATCTCGCAACGGAATCAATTAATTGTTATTAATTTTCAGTGTCAAAATATTAAATTGATAGCTGAAAGCTTTAACTCTATTTAATAATGAATATATATGAGAATCTGTAATAAAGATTACAAGAAACATATATTATTTTATAAATTTGTATTTATTTAAAAAATTCTCAACTACTATTGATAAATATAATTGTTTATTTGGTTTTTAATATTTTTATTAGCTGCTTATACAATATATTGACATTTTTCTACAGTCGTTGAATGAACTTAACGAAGAAAAAAATTAAATAATTGTATAAATTAATCAACTGTTTAAAAATATGACTTGTATACATCTCATAAAATTTAAACATTATAATCAATTAATTTTTTATAATGTATAAAAAGGTAACCGTAAATAAATTAAATTCGTTATATATAAACTAAGTTTAATGATTTTTGTTTATAATACAATATTGTATAAAAAAATAGTGTGTACAACAAATATCAAATAAGATATATTCGTTTAATTGTGTTTATAGATAATCTTATACATAAATACGATCTATTTAAATACAAAACAAGATTTTATTATATGAACATTATAAAACATATAAACATACAAATATTTAAAAATATATGCATTACACTCTAATTTTCATTAATGTACAATTTTATTTTTACAATATGGACTATGAAAGCTGAATTATTAGTCTAAGACTGTTTCTTTAATTGTCGTGTAAAATGTTAAGAACATTTTCTGTACATTTCTATCGAATTATTTTTACATTTTCATTCACGCATCGCAATATTGTTTTAAATACTCTCTTTCATTTTCTTGTAATGTACTCTTTCAATGAATAGTAATAAACAGCTTAAAAATACTCCAAAAGCTAATATAACCAACAACGGAGCTATTCCTCTAAATTCAATGGAATTATAATCTTGTACTGGCTCAATCTTTTTGTCATAATATATCTTTCTTGTACGTTGCATAATGCCATTACTTTGAAATCTTAGAATACTAGAAAACAATGTTAATTTACATAAATATTTATAATTGTTTGTACATATTTATAATCAAAAATTATTAAAAAAAAAAAAAAAAAAAAAAAAAAAAAAAAAAAAACTATCAAACACTATATTTTTACACGATCAAAGGTATTTATAAATTTATACGTAAATGAATACAATACTTTGAATAATACATAAGTTCTTTATGGATTATATGATTTTAAATTGATCGTGCTTGGGAAAAAAATTAGCATAAAACTAATTAAAAAAATTACATTATATATTTAAGTTTCTGGGAAATTTTGTAGACTATTTCCATCGTTTTATATAGACAAACAAACTAAGAATGTTAATACCATAAATATTTATAATTATAAATAAAAGTAATAATAAATAGTTATAAGTAATATAATTAGGAATAGGAATAAATTATATTCTTACTTGTAATTAATAAAGTCTGTAAATGGATTATTTTTAGATAAAGCAAATGCTAAATGATCGACTCTGCCTGTCTTTACGCCATACAGTTTACAAGGAATAAAATTATCTACTTTATTTTTCATTGCGCTATTCGAATAAAGTGCTACTCGTTCTTGACAGATCTGTACAAAAAATGTATCACACATATACATTTATTCATTAATATAGTAATTATTTCAGAAAATATTTGAAAAAGTTTCTTAATATCTGAGAATAGGCAAATCACTAGTGAAATTATATGTTTAAACGTTTACGATGGATAATGTTTGACATAAAAAAAAAAACTCTTTCAATTAATGTCTTATATATTATAAGTGCAATTATATATATATATAAGTAATAAAATTTTAATAAAATGTTTAAGTAAACGTGCGATGATCAATAAATGTAATTTGTAATTTTTGTATCGTATTACCTGCTCAAACGCATCTACATCATTTATAGGTAAATCCTTCTCTTCTTTCATAAATTTATTCATTTTTTTCAGTATAAAATCCTGCGAAATCTACACTCGATAACATTTTCATAAATTTTAATAATTAATAATTCTTTCAGTTATGATGTTCTATTAAATAATCAAACATACTCGAAACATTTCGTGTTCGGCACTATTTCGAAGAACAATTAGCTTGTATGTGCCGTCTTTAGTATATTTTGGCAAAGAACGGAATGGTACGTTGGGAGTGAAAATGGCCAAATAACTGGTTATACAAGCTGAATAAAGAGCCGAGAAAACAATACCAGAACAAATTATGGACATGAAGGCTATTCTTAATGATGATGGACAAGGAAATTCTAAAACATAGAAATTATATTAAGCACTTGGATTTTTATATGAATCGATTTAATATATCGAGTCAATTAAGGAGATTATTTATTTAATGTAACCTGATAATCCTTGCTGACAATAAATGCCCCAAATATATAAATAATTTTCTACTAAATAATTTTTCAGGCAATCTACTTTGCTAATTTTTATTTTCATATATGTTACGATTGTTCCTGACAATATTATTAAAATTATAAGTGATATCCAAGTTTTGTGGTCGAAGGCCTAGTGCGAATATAATATTAACTCAAATCTTATTAAACATTGAAATATATCGTGAACGAACGAACGAATGAATGAATAATGATAAAAAAAGAAAAAGAAAAAAAGAAAAAGAACCTTTAAATAAGTTTTCCACTGAACTTCGGAAGGTCGAGGCTGCTTAATAAAGAGTTTAGCTCTCGTTAAGATTAACGGACATGTAAAATCAAAATTGGCCACTCTTTCTTTTGTCATAATCATCTCTGAAGCAGCCAAATCGATTTGTTGAGATTGAAGTCTTCCTAATATTCCTGTCCATTTAGACTCAGTTTCATTCCAAATGCCATAAAAATCATCGATCCACGAAAAGTTTAGGGTAAAATTCATGTGCGACGCCAATTCTATTATAATTTTCGTAAACATCGTATGATTTTCTCCATTCATTCTATGAACTAATGAAGTTGGATGCTCCTAATGAATAAGAAATAATATAATTTTACAGCAATTTTTCAACTTCCAACTTCCTGTGCAATTAGAATTTATATGCCATTCCAATAGCGTTTAACAATCGAAAACAAAAAACAAAAAAAAACAAAACAAAAAAAAAAAAAAAAAATTATAATATATCATGTGATAAAAATTCATACTTTATTTTACAAGTTGACGTAGAAAATAGAAAAGTTGCTCATTACCATATTAGATTGCCATTTCTCATAAAGTCAATTTACGATATAGATAAATCTTAAATTAATGAAATATCATATTAAAAACAATAATTTTTTTCATGTAACATATGCGTATGAATTACATTGTGGTAAAATAACATTTACATAAAGTCTTATTAATACGTAAGAATGTAATTCTTATACCTTTACCGACGATACTCTCAAAAGACTACCAGCAACATCGTGACGACGTCTGTATAAGTTTTGATAGGACTTTATAACCAAATTAGATCCGGGTTGCCATTCCATAAGGTCGGTCATCTGAACCTCTTTATTATTATTCACGGTATACCACTCATGAATATGCGAATTATTGTAACATTTTACCAGAAGCAGTGTATCAAAATTCAAATGGAAACGATTTTTATCCGGCTTTTCGCAAAAATTATGTAATGCTCGTTTCATGGGTCCCCAAAAGATGACGAACCATACGTGAAGTGATAATGCGTGAAGTTTCGTAAACATTTCAAAATTCCTGAGATTCTGTTCGTTTTCAATCGGCATAATAAATAGCTGCCTTGGCAACTTGAAGAAGGTGCTATTATAATTTTCCGTCAAGTCTGAATATTGTAAGACTTGTACGTAGACTTCCTTACGAGATAATGTCTTTATTTTCTTTAATAACAATGTTGAGAAATATATATCTGTAAATTTAAATAGCAATTTTAGCTATTGGGACTCATATGGTTAATTATAAAAATTTATTTTATCTTACAGAAAATACTTATTAATCTGTTAATAGTTAAGTATAATTGTTAAGTAATCTGTAAGGCTTTGTGTAAATTAAAAAAAAAAAAAAAATAGGTAAGCGTTACGACAATTAGCTGCTTAAGCTCTATTGCAAATTACAAAATAATTCAACATTGTCAAATTAGTCAACGTAAAATATATACATGAAATTTATTTAATCTTACTTTCTTTATACTTATTATCAATAAAAAATACGCCAGTAGCATTATAAAAGTATTTTAAATCAGTTACTAAATCCATATGATCGATATGCTTCAAAGCTAATGAAGAAAATCTTATATAATAGATTATGAAATATAATGAAGTTATTTTATGCATTATGTAATTACTTTAAAACTACAGAAGCTCAATTTTATAGTTTATACAGCGATGAAAGAGAAATACTACTACAAAAAATTTTTGCTTTACGATATACGCCCATCGGTAGTTTGAGAACTTTGAGTGCCTCTATCAAAGTTAATCTTAATAGCGACATTCATCATTAAATATGATAGATTATATCAAACCGGCTGTAGTAAATTTGAATAATTCAGTATACTTTCAATTGATAATGTGATAATATAAAAAACGAAAAACAAAAAAACAAAAAAAAAAAAAAAAAAAAAATTACTAATTTTTTATTCATGTAAGGAAAATGTAGCGCTTTCATCTATTAACTCAATAAACAAACGAAAACAAAATACTCTTACTCGTATGTCAATTTTAATATTTATTATCAACACAATGAAACTGAATATAATTTTATATAATTAGGGCCTGTATTCAATTATTCATAATGCCAAACGATACAATATTATGTACATAAAATTTTATATTTTATACTATAAAAAATCACTTATATTGAGAAATATTTTTATACTTTATTAGCATAGTAGTAATTGAATATTTCGTGAGATTATTTCAATAAATTTTATGACATGACATGATATACATTTGTGTACATATGTATATATATATATATATATATATATATATATATATATATATACACATATATATACATATATATATACATATATATACATATAATGAAAATAATTGCTACCTTCACAGAAAAACATCGTTAAAAAAACGTATTACAAAGCAAACTTACTTTCTAAATAATGTTTACTTAAGAACGATATGGAACTTATATCAATATAATTCGTATATCTTACATCGAAAGACTTTCACTATTGGAAAATATGATTTTGTCCTATTCAGTTGTATTTTATATTTTCACTGAATCAAGCATATCACATTCATTAGCATTAACCTCTCGTAACAAATTTTAAATTTAAGATCATAAAAATTATTTATTATTATTTGAAAATTGAAAAGACTAGATATTATATATAGTATTCGTAAATAATCATACGTACATGTGTTTACAATATGATTAGTCCTGAAATTTAAATAAATGAATATGTTCAATAATAAAAAGACCGAATAAATTTTTAACTTTATAATTTCCTTATCATTTTATTTAAGATTTAAAACAAAATTCTGTTTTATCGAAAACATATTTAAATATAGAATGAAAATAATTAAATAAGAATAATTGTATTTATTTACAATATATTTACAATATTATTTATAAAATATTCACAAACTGTTAATTATAGATCAGAAATCGCTCATTACATCTGAAATCTAAATTAAATTTCAATTTCATTGAAGGTATATTATTTTTAATTATTTATATTACATGTATTTGGAAACTCAATGAATAAATAATAACATCTTAAAAGTCGGATTTTAATACAATGTATTTAGATTTCTTTGTGCATACATCATTCTCTTGAATTTTCAATGTTTTTCTTCATTGGAATGAGCTAATATATTTTATAGGTTAAGAAATTACTATGATTCAATATTCTCTACGTAATTAATTTATTTAGATTTGATGTAAATCTAATTAACCTTATTATTTATTAATTATTAGTATTATAAAATCATGCCAAACAAGCAAATTTCCATTTGTAATTAATTCAATTTTTGTAAGTCAATATTATTAATGACAAATTGTTTAATGAATAATATTGTCTAACGTAAAAAATATTTTATAGACATTTTATATTCTATTTGCCTTATTGAAGTGAAGTTATATAATACACAATTTAATTTCAAGTATAGTTAATTATCAGTAGGTACCGATGTTTATGTATTAAAATTATGCTGAATCTAAAAGAGCAACCTCTTCTGGTACAATTTTAGCCACTTTTCGCAATTCCTTTATTAAAGTTTTTGGACACTGCATCTCTGTCCAACTTACTGGCACCATGGCAATTCCTACAAAAATTAATATAAATTTAAATTGAAAATTATTATGAATTCGACTTGGAGATATAAAAATAAATAAATAAATAAATAAATAAATATAGCTTACCCTCTTCGCTGTGCGCAATAACAACTCCTAATTCATTTTCTGCTGTGCTAAGTTGATACGTATGTGCTTCGGTCATTGGTAACTACATAGATTACGATGTTAAGAAAATAATACAATTAACATTATCGGATATAATTGGCATAAAATCATAAAAAAAAAAAACTGGTTATTATTTGGCATAATACATAGTTTAAAAGCAAAACTAAGAAATATACTATTAATAGGTATTAAGGATACAACTCTTGCAAGAATTATGTCACCAGGTCGAAAAGATTTGTACATTTCTGTTGCATCTTTACCCACTGCTTTTACTTCTTCTTTTCGAAGAATCCCCCTATATGGTCGGCTTAAAACTATGTCACCTATACATTTTATTGTGCATTTACAAAATCGTTGATTAACAATCGTTACCATTGCAGTAACTATATCTCCAGGAGCAGGTACTATACTTTGATCTATCATGCCATGAACTGAAATTGAGCATGTCTGAAAAATGGAAAAATTGTAGCTAAAATTGTGATGCTCAATAATGATATTTGGAAATAGAGCGAAGTAATTATATTTTACATCATCGTGCTTCAATACTTTAACTACTCCTGCGAATTTTGCATAAATGTAGCCTAATTTTTCATAAGTTCCTTGTCCTGGAACATTTACTTTATCTGAGATACATAATCTTTGCCCTGTAAATTGATTGATTGATAGAAATAAAATTACAGTTTTAAATTGAAATAGCGCTTTATCAATTTTACTTTGAAATGCCTATTTATGCCTTACCTGGAATACAAATAAGATCTCCGTCCATTATTTTGAATTTTGCGTGATTGTGAAATATATAATTGTCATATGTACATTTACGTATATATTAGCATTCAAACAAAACACATAAAATATTAAATCAAACTTGGGTAAAAAATACAAAAATTGAACGAAAATTTAGTGCTCCATGTTATCGATTCGGACATGTTGTTGTGTTGGAAGAATTCATTATTTACGTTGGTTAACCTGCAAGTATTAAAGCGCGTGATTTAAAAATTTTGAAATATATATAAAATTTTTTTTTTTTAGAAAATATATAGAATATAATTAATAATATGTATAATTTGTATAATTATTAATTCATATTCTAAGCTCATTATTATATAGGAGATTAAATATTTCAAAATTTAAGTCGAGTTAACTTTAGGTACTTCAGCGTCATGCGTAGATAAATCAAGCCAAAAAGAAGATTATTTATTATAAAAGTAAAATTGTATATCCCACGATATTAAATGTGCATTTATTTGTAATTATTATTTCTCATTGTCAATAATATTGAATACAACTGTTGTTAATAATTCATATAATTCATAATTTCTTATCTTCGAATTAATTAACTTCAAATTATTTCACATTGAATTGTGTAAAATATATTTTTCATAACCCCATGTATTATCTTATGTCTAAACGCTTTAAAGTATTTTAAAAAATTACGAAACGAATTTTAAAAGCGACTTAAAAGAGGATAAGGTTGGTGGTAAAGTTATAATTTATATAATTCTTTTTTGTTTTGTTTTTTTTTTTTTTGTATGCTTTATTAAGAATTATATTAGTCTCCAGAAGCAATTCAATAAGACTGTACAAAAGTGATTTATCATAACATTACAAATACTGTTCTAACGCTATTCATTTATTATAAAGCGGAGACCGTCTCTTTATAAAATTAAAAAAAAAAACAAATTGATGAAAAGTCACACTTAATTTTTTATACATTAAAACATTTTGACTTTTAATCATTAAGTGCAAGACATTTAAAACTAGTCAATGTAAATCCAGAACCCAAAGAAATTGTAATAATTCTAGTAAGCCCCGTGGAATAAATGTAACTCATACAGGTTTTTTTTTTTTTTTTTTTTACACATACTTAATTCTTTTCGTTCATCCATTTTGGTATTTTATTATAAACTTAATTCTACGCTGTACAATTTGTATGATATATAAAATAGGCTTTTGATTTTTAATTGCAACAATAAAGACACGATCTAAATAATTATACAAAAATTATTGAATAAATATGCTACATACATTACATTCGAATACCTATACTATACTAAAAGCACGGGATTTATTTTAATTTTCTCATCGATATTGTGACTTTTTACAGAAAAATAGCACCATCTTCATACCAGCTAATTGGACATAAAAACAAATAAAATCATTGTTTATATTTTGTATTGTAATTCAAATAACATGATGGTATTTCATTAAATCGTAAAATAGTGAGAAAAATGATACAGAATATTGTAATGAAAACGTCAGCAAGTTTACAAAGAAGATTCGATTGCTCTATAAATAAAATATTTAAATTGTCTAGTTTTATTTAAGAAGAATATTTATTTAAGTTAAATATTTCACTTAGCAAATAGAAGAAAATTTTTAAATTGAAATTCGCTGTTAAACTCGATCTTATTATTAAAAGAGATCAACTTTTAAGTAAAATATACAAATCCTTTTCCTTCATAAAAATCGAATTCGACTTATTTTAATCTTTGACATCTCTTTTTAATGTGAAATTTAGATTTTTCTTCTTTAATTGTCGAATAAAAAATATATATATATATATAATCGTTTATAAATTAAATTGACAAAGAAACTAACACTATTTAATAAACGCATCACTTTAAATATTACACATGGCAAGACGAATAGACCGTATTATAATCATGTAATTTAATAATAAATAGGAAACCATCAACACAGTTATTGCGCATATTAATCGATATATTTAAAAGAGGACAATTATAAGAATTTAGTACAACGTTTAAAATAATTGTATTGAGTTGACTGAGTTATTTTTTTACTTTTTTTTTTTTCATTATTAGAAATATTTCTGGAAATTATATTATTGGAGAATGTAGCTTAGGCAAAGCCGTCCGTAATAACAATTGAGATAATTATATCGATAAAATTTCTTAAATTCATCAGTACGTAATTTATATTATTACGATCTGACTAACGTCGAGTAAACTTTGCCATTTTTGCTACAATTGATTTGTATCCATTCTATAATTGTGTAGGATAAAACGTATATGAAAGTTCAGCAATCGTTATTGTTATCCGCAATTGTTAACGGTAAAAACAAATTTAATACCGAATTAAAAGAAAATAATAAATTCCAAATTAAAAAACATCACGTTCAAAGTATGGAGGTATGGAACGATGACCTCACGCTCGCATTCACACGTCACGCGCCGGAATCCTCGATCTCGAACATACATTTTTCTCAAATCCATAAGAAGAAAGAGTAAGAGTGCGTCAATTCAATAAAAGAGAAAAAGAAAAGGAAAAAGAAAAGGAAAAAGAAAAGGAAAAAGAAAAAGAAAAGGAAAAAGAAAAGGAAAAAGAAAAGGAAAAAGAAAAAGAAAAGGAAAAGGAAAAGGAAAAAGAAAAGGAAAAAGAAAAAGAAAAAGAAAAAGAAAAAACAATAGGAAAAAGTTAAAATTAGAATTAAAGAAATAAATCACACGCGATAATCCTTAAAGGATAGAAAGTTTTTCGACGTTCGTTACGGTCATCTCAGCCTTTCTTGAACTTAATGAGCAGTATGGCGAGGGTCAGGAAGACGATGATCCAGACGAAGGTGGCGATGAAGCCGTCGTACACGACTGGGTTGGCTATTGTCCAGCCCCGGGCCAGCATCGCCCGGAAGGACTCGGTGCTCTTGGTCAATGGGAGCAGGAAGCTGATGTACCGGAGTATCGGGTGCATACCCTCGATCGGCCAGATAATGCCGCAGAGCATGACGATGGGCAGGAACGAGCCCATTGCCATGTACGTCGCGCTTCGCTCGTTTTCGCACGAGCACGCCACCACGAAACCTGTTTCAACGTCATTAATAATTATTAGGGATTTTTGGCGAATGTGGAGGTGGTGTCGATCGACGGAGATCGATTACCAAGACGGAGCACGTAGCTTATTAGGTTGTTATCGGCTTTACGCGATCATGGGAGAGTGCGGTTATGGAGGTATGATTCGCTTTTGTTTTTTGCCCGGGCTGAAAGCGTGCACCGCTGGAATTCGCACTAATGAAACGGACATACTTTCACTTCGCTTGGAGTGAAACTCCATTCCAATTAATTGATGAGAGAGTAATAAAGTACGAATAAATTCAACTTGTTATTCTAGAAGAGAAAATTGCAATAATACCGATCGAGAGCTACGCTAATTGATGCTGTCTTATCCTTCGATGCTCCGTAACGCGTGAGAAGTTTAGCAATCCTATTGCTGATTAAACTTGACTGGTGATTAAAAATTGGACACCAAAGTTTTGCGATAAGATGCCAAAGTACGCGAAGAATGCTGATTAATCACATCTTTACACCTTTAGAAATTCAATAGAAGCGATCATAGCGGTTATATGTGTGGGCAACAATAGCGCGCTCACAATATTTCATGTGTGTTAAAATGAGGAGCTTAATTATTGAATTTGTGACGAGATTATGCCTTCATTTTATTATCAGAAGACACAAATTTCGTAAAAAAAAAAAAAAAAAAAAAAAAAAAAAAAAAATATTTCGCAAATTGTTACTGTTTTTTTATTCTTAACTATGATTATTTATAATTGCTCAAATTTTAGAAGATTTATTAGTTATAATGGGAATATTATAATATTCGGGAAAACAAGAATGACCAATAATCTTAATATCTGAGATGTTCGTTAGATGGTTAAGGTTGTTGATGCTTGTGATCGTATGTTTAAGACACAAATGATAAGAGCGTGAGATGAATTTATTTCACTGACTATTGGCTCAATGCATCCAGGGCAAAATCGTGAAGGACATGAAAAACAAATGTTCGGTTACAAGATCGGGAATACACTTACCGAAACACATGCCGCAGAAACCCGTAAGAATTGTAAGTGCAGTAACCATAGCGACATCCCCCTCGCATGTAATTTTAAAAACGGCAAATGCCACAACGAGAACCATAACTGTTTGTCCCGTCATAACGAGGAACTGCGTGACGACTTGGCCGAATAAGATTTCGGGACCGGTGACACCTAATGGTTCAACAAATATTCAACAAAGAACGTTTCCTTCTACATCCTTATATATAAAGAAGAAAATGAATAGTTATTGTTACGATTCACTTACCGACGACTAAGCTCCTTTCGAGTAATCCCTCGTTTCTTTCCAACAACATGGCACCCGATGTTAGGGCGACCGACAGGAAGAAAATAATTCTAAAATTTATATATTTGTATGTCAGATATATATATATATATATATATATTTAACGTTTAATTTTACAAATTCCTACGCGGATCATAAATTGTTTTACGCACGTTAAAATAACTCCGGGAGCGGCAAAATCCGTGAAATTGGGCTCCAGAGGTCCATATATAGGTTTCTGGAACTACGCAAGCGAAGTAACCATATCTTTAATAATGGTAAACTTTCCATTGTTAAATTGGCGTGATTATCCAATAAAAGTATATACTCACTGAGACAGGAATTTCAGTTAATTTTGCACTATAATTACAGGCTGATGTGAGCTCACGCGCAAAGTCTTCGAACGAGTAATAAAGATCTCTTTGCAGCAACTGGCCAATTTGTTGATCTGAATGACAATAAAATGTGTGCATTTATCTCTCGATTAACTTACACGATCTAATAAGGGAATAAAATTTATTTCCAGATAGCAGAAAACTGTCGTACAGTTTTTCACGGTGTATTCACTTAGCATTTTATAGAATGGATAATAATAAAAAATTCAATTATTAAAAGAAAAACGAAGTTTTATAACAATTTGAAATATATTTTTGTTAATATTTTGTGCTGCAATAATGATAATTCATAATGGCAATATTATATCATCAATGCATAGTCAAGCTGTGCTTCAAAACATAATACATTCGTATAAACATTTATTTTTATTTAAACATATATCGTATTTAAAAGTATAAAGAAACAACAAGTTTTCACAAAATTAAGCCTAATTATTTCTTTTCAAACAAACGATCATATATCGTAATTCATTAGTTTTAGTATTTTTCGGAAGAAATAACGCAATGTAAATTTGCCTCCAGATAATGTAATACGTTAATTTTAAATAAATGTCAATTCGCTTGCTACTACGATAAAGAATAAAAAAAAAAAAATTAAGTCAAAGCTATTTTAGAATTAATTTATCGTTAAATCAGGTGGGATTAGCCCGTATCCATTTATCCAATGTCTTAAATACTTCAGCTCTCTAATTCAACTTTCTCTATTTCAACGCTTAATTTGGCGTTTAAAATTATAATTAAGATTCGTGCGAATGAGTAGGGATGGGCTGAGGTGGCGGGTAGGTGAGTAAGAGAGGGGGGAGTGATGTCGCGGCGGAGGGACGATGAGGGGGAGGGGGGAGGGGAGGAGGTGGATTATGAGGAGGAGGAGGGGAGGGATGAGGAGGAGGTATGGCGCGTGCGTGTGGAGAATACAGTAGGTGGATTGATAATCGCATAGTCGAATGATGAAAAGACGGTCTGGCCCTACAACTAACTACCACTACTCACTAGACATATCCAAGACGACGTCCATGTCGGCGTATATGACGCTAAACTCGTCCGCGTCCTTGCCATAGTCGATTCTCTCCCTGAGCGAGGCCGAGTAGTTGCCGGGGAAAGTGATGGCGCCCCAAGCCCAGCCCTTGACCACCGCCTGCCTCGCCTCCTCGACCGTGTCGTAAGGCAAGTAAACGACCTTTCGCTTCTCCAGCTCTTTGAGGAAACGACAACTGGACATGGTGAAATCGCAGCCTATGGAGGGCACGCAAGTATCGGCGCTTGAGTTGAGCTCGTTGTTGACGATGGCCAAACGCAGGCCCGTGGGATCCTTGCCGATCGACAGGCAGAACAGGATTATCTGCACCACGGGCAGGCCGATTATGAAGAGCATTATCCTGCAAGACGATGAATAAACACGCTTTTAGAATATCGGCACACAAGCCCGATTTCTTATCTTTATTTTATCGTTAGATTAACGCTTTCCCAAGGGAAGTGTCCACGCGCTCTTACAATCTCCTCTCCCAAATTCTCAGGTTATTTTTGCATGAGTTTGCACGAGTTTTCACGAGTTTTCACGAGTTTGCACGGGTTTGCACGCGTAATAGTTAAGATTGTTAACGATCGGCTTTCTAGTGGAATATCGAAAACGTGTTTATACGAATCTATCAGAATTCTTAGATGAAAATTAATGCTGCCTACCCAACGTTTCTCCACATCCATAGGAAATTCTTCCAAATCAAGGCTTTCATGTGTTTTGGATTGAGCATTTGAAATTTATACGATCCCTTCTCTTCCGGCGGCAAATCGAGCGCCTAAAAAATTCAAAATAATCGAATCTTTCGAGCAGGATTTATTGTAATATGATTTATCGTGTATTTTAATATCTTACGTCATCGTCCGATGTCACGGCAATACTTCTTCGTCGACTAGACACGCTCACATTATCACCGAACTCTCCGCTCATTTCTTCATCCGCATCCTAAAAAATAACACTTATTTTCATTGTGACTTTCACAGTGCCCACCTTAAATAATAATTGCAATAATATTAATAAATCAACAGGATGATTTATTTTTATATTTCAAGATTTATATTATCGTTACGAATCTATTACTTGATATATGTATATATATATATATATATATATATGCACCGATACATTTCTTATAAACTTTATTATAAGCATTCATTTTTAAACGATTGATAATACACAGAGAGGTTTTACGATAAGATTGCTATTAAATTTCGAATGTGGCAAATTAATTTTTTTCTTTTCTTTCTTTTCTTTTCTTTTTTTTTCAATCGGATGATATTAATATTGAAAATAGATGAATGAACAATTTATGTCTACTTGTGCTTTGTAGACTAATTTACAATATTTATTATAAATGACATAGATTGCAATTATTTGTAAAATATCGTATGTTGAAAATTATTAATGTTGCAAATAATCGTAAGAGCGAATAAACGAGACACCGAACGCACACGGACGAATAATAATATCGCCGAGAGCGAAAAATTAAGTCCAATGCTCGATAATAGTTCTTGTTGGTGTATTACCGGTTCCGGTGGGACACCCGTGACGCTGCTCAGGATGCTACTCCTTCTCCTCAGGCCCATATTTTGTCTGCGGCTAAGCTTAAGGAACACTTCCTCGAGGGTGTCGAGCCTATGCATTTCCATCAATTTAACGGGCGATTCCTCGGCAAGGAAGCGACCGCTGCGCATGAGGCCAATTATCCCTGCCTGGCGCGTTTCCTCGATGTAATGCGTTGTAATGATTATGGTCGTCTTACCATCCTTGGTTATGTGCACGAGATGGTCCCAGATGCTCTGCCGGAGCACGGGGTCGACTCCGACCGTTGGCTCGTCCAGAATCAAAAGCTCCGGGTCGGCGAGGAGCGAGGCTGCCAGGGAAACCCGACGTTGCTGACCGCCAGAAAGATTCTTTACAAACCGGTTCTCCGATGGTAACTGCAAAAACTTTACAACCACACCGAATTATGCGATTCCATCACCATTGTAAACTCCCCAACCATCGATATTCAAGCTAATTGCCCAAATTAAATTATTTCGCGAGTTCGCGAGTGGTCAGAAATTTTACCGTGTGCCCACTTCTTAAAATGTCAGCACTGACGATGTTTTATGCATGGATTATGGATTGCATAACAAGGCTTTATCTCCCATCCATGGGCTTACTATTTAATCACAATTTAGTTTATTCAACAAAGGAGCGTTCATTTTTATTTCAAACAAAATCTCTTGTTGATAAAATAACAATAAACTACATTATCTATAAGCTATAACACAACTCTATTATTATTATTATTATTATTATTATTATTATTATTATTATTATTATTATTATTATTATTATTATTATTATTAGATAGCGCATACCTTGAGCATTTTAATGGCTTTTATTTACTTTTAAGATTCAAGGTTATCTTAATTCATTGATTAATGAGTTTATTTAATTCAAAAAGTACTCGATAAGTAATGGAAACTTTGTTTAATAGCGCGTCAATTTGAGCGACAGACTTAAAAAATTAACCCCACCATTTATTTTTCGTAATTAATTTTCATTGTTTTACTATATCAATTGCTGAATAATGTTTATTGCATATATTTTTGTGTATTGGTATTAGCAAGATTCAATAGTTTATAAATAAATTTAAGCTCGGCTTTTCTCCTTAATGCCATGCTTATACAAATAATTTATTCTTCATATTGAGCTTGTATTTAAGAAACTTTTCGTTCGAGAATATTCGATACTTTGAGCAAATAAAATAATAATATTTCTCAACTTTCGTAAGACGCAAATACGCTCATTAAACTCCTTGTAATATTTATTTCTTAAAAGAAAACATGATCTTCGATAAATTTTATCTTCAATGATACTTATTTATTGAAAAACGTATATATATATATATATATATATATATAGCGAGGCTGACCAATCAACTTATTACCATAAATATCATCAACATCATTCGCTCACCTTCAGCACGAATTCGCGTTTATCGTCGAACTGATCCGATCCGTTGTCATGCCCGCGCACCAGCCAAAGAATATAAAAGTTTCGCGTATGGAGAACTCGCCGTAGAGGGCGATTTCCTGGGGCATATAGCCGACCCGGGGTCCAGGTACTCCTGAGCCCTTTGAACCGGGTCTACCACCCAGGACCCAGATTTCGCCGGAGTTTAGTCGACGACGACCCACTATGCAAGACAATAAGGTCGTTTTGCCGCAACCGCTCGCTCCCAATAGTCCATATCTGTAAATGTGCTTGCCAATTAATTATTTCTAATTATGATTTAACCGTTTTATGAAAAAAAAAAAAAAAAAAAAAAAAACCAACAGCGACCCATTCGTTAGCCACTATATTAAATTTATGAATATCTTGGTAATATCTATAGTCGATATGTTTTACCGAGTGAAGAATTTAGTTGACAATCGATAGATCCACCGACCGCGAAATTATAGTCTGTTGATTCTATAATAATCAATATAAATATCTTCAACATCCCTGCAATTTATATTCATTATGAATATTATCGCATTGCAATATAATATATACTTATTGATTAAAACTAATAGTACAAAATGACAATTAAACAGAATGAAACATAAAAATTTTCAACTATAGACTTCAGAGGCATTCTTTTACTAATAGATTCTCCAAAATTTACTTTTCGACAATTACCTATGCAAAAACGTATTACAAAATGAAATAAATGTAGTCTTAAGTATTACATGAAATATCGTTTAGTTTTCTTTTTGTTTTCTTTTTGTTTTTTTTTTGTTTTTTTTTGTTTTTTTTTTATTGTAAATTTGATTTGTAATGTATCTTTGAAGGATAAGTCAACTTAATTTTTTTTTGTTTTTGTTTTTTTTGTAATTTTTTCATTACGCATAATTCAATAAAATCCGAAAATTTAGATATCATCTATATGAATAGTCAGAAACGCATATAAACATCGGAATAATTAGATGTATTTACATATTGAGTCATCCGGAAAGTTATATTGAAAAATATTCAATATTCACATTGAAATATGATCTACCAGTATTGATATCTCAGCCGATGCTCAAGAAGTCGACAGTAAAAAATATATTTATTTCCGCGGTGGAAAGCACACACCGACCATACTATAAATCGTGTGGCAATTAAAAAAAAAAAAAAAAAAAGAAAAAAAAAGAAAAAAAAAATCTCAATCTCCAAGCACGTGTCACTATGCAACGAAAAGCTTACATATACGTTTTTATCATAAGTAATCATCTTCCTAATATATTATAATCAAATTATTGACAATTTTAACGTCTATTTGTTGTTTTTTTTTTTCATAAGCCCTTTTCAATACATACTTCATAGATATTTAGAATTATACAACATTGAAAAATTTATCGGAATAATTAAGAATTATATTAAGTGCAATTTTAATTGAAAATATTTTTGAAATTTGTAATTAACTGCTTGTTAAACTATCCTTCATTTTTCCTTCATTTTACCTTCATTTTTCTTCTTTTTTTTCATTCTTTTTTTCATTCCTTTTTTAATCGATTGGATTATGTTGAGTAATACTATAGAATGGAGATTTTTCATTTAATTCCTCGGGTATTTTGATATTTTGAGCATAGCTGCTTAGCTTAATATAAACACCGAAGAGAGACAAAATCTTTAAAAATATTTAAAAACATAATCGATGAAGTAATTGGATTTTATGCAAAAAAAAAAAAAAAAATTAAAATGATTTGATTTTTTAATACAAACCGAAAATATTATCGAAGATTCTCTTATTCATATGCTTTACGAGATTAGTCATGTATTCAAATTATTAAAGTCACCAAACTTACATCATTGCATTGGACGTGTTCAAACATTATAAGAATTTAATCAATATAATAGACAAACGTGACCTTACATGTACATAAAAATTCGAAATTATTACAATTAAATGTAATATAAGTAAATTAAGAACACAATGTTAATGAACGTTGGATAAGAGCGTCTTTACCGTGCTATTTATTTTGTATTTTTTATTCAACAATAATATAGATAAATAGGATTTGGAAATAATTGAAGTGATGTTTGTCTATTTGAGGCTGAACTGGAATAGGGAAACTACTATTTTAATAGGCGTCTAAGGCATCCTTTCTTTTACATTATCCATCCAAGCACTCGAAGCGCTACATTTTTGCTCCCTTAACGTCTTTCTCTCTCTCTCTCTCTCTCTCTCTCTCTCTCTCTCTCTCTCTCTCTCTCTCTCAACCTCGACCTGGTAGTCAGCGGTTAATAAATATTCATTATTGCGGTCTAAATTCCTCGGCCAATGACTATTGTTAAGTGAATAACAGTTAATAATAGGATACGAGTACTGACATTGTGCCCTTCGGTACCGTCATATTAAGACCGTCGAGGATGACGTTGGGGTTGCTCTTGGGGCCGTATTTCTTGAAGGCCCGACGCACGCAGACGGCCTGTCTGCGTCGCGTCGCCACCGTCGAGGCCTGCGTCTGGAATTGGGCCCGACGCGTCTTCAGCTCGAGGGAGGCTACCGATGAGGCCGGGGCCGCTGCTACCTCCGGGCTCTCTGTTGGCTCCATTTCTGTAACAAATCACGTCAGCTCGTGCAAGCTTACAATTCGCGAATATTGTCAATTTACGGGGCAATGTCATTTCAAAGAGATTTACATCCCTTTCGTTTTCTGGCATTACATTTAATTTTTGAGGCTTCTATTTCTATTTCATAATTATTACATCCATCGGATGGAGAGAGTGTGGAGACCATAAATTTCACCATTCCGTCACTCTCTACAGGCAATTATATAAGCTTAAGGAATGGCGTTCAATGAATAATTCTGTCTCTTACATTCGAATGCCTAAACGTTACTGATACATAGCTATTTCTTAAAAAAAAAAAAAAAATGAGCCAATGTAATGAATAATACCATTGCTTAGAACATAAAAGTTTTTTAAATTCAGAAATACGCTCGATTATCATTAATGAATAAACATTTTCATAAAGTTCTGACTATCTGACGCGCACATTGGATTAGCCATCAAGATTACCGTTTTCAACTAAATAAAGCCAAAATGTTATATTTTTCAACTGAAAAATTTTCCTCGTTACGAATAGCTTGCGTCATTAATTGTAAAATAAAGTTTATAGCTTTTGTCTAGAAACTCAGTGTATAAATGTTAGTTGTGCTCCCTGTCTCTTGTTTCAAGTATAAAATATATAAAAATCTATCTGACCATACATTGTTCATAACATTTCTTTTTCATTCTAATACACGTATTTAAAAAATTATGTATAAAATTTTCATGATAATCAAGTATTATTTAAATGACGGCTTTAATTTCATAAAATTTAAATCTCGTCTAGCATTAAATAAATATGAATATATATCTCCTTGATCCAACGATGCGTAATCTTAAATGTGCAATCAAAGTTGTCGATAGATTATTAAATTTTTTAAAATAATCTGCTTTCATTTCAATTGTTTTGTATTTTAATGTAGTTAGTGGTAAGAATTTTTTGTTTATTAACTTGAAAAAAAAAAAACAAAAAAAAAAAAACAAAAATCAATAATACCATTTTTTTCTCTATTATTGAATATTAAAAAGTCACACTCTAGTGCACTTTTCATTAATAATAGTCATTAAATTATTCTTCGGATATGATTAATTTAATGAATTATGATATGAATATCGTAACTACACGTGTACACAACTTTGTAATTTGTAATTATAACCTTATGCATAATCCGTGGGTAGGCTTTTTTTCTTTTTTTTTTTTCTCTATTCTTTTAATATATGTGATATAAAGCGATTATAGTATTTCATATTTAAATTTCCTTCTATCCATATAAGTATATCGTGAATAAAATGTTCGAGTCGCACACCAAGTTATGACGATGGCATTTCCTTCAAATCTACTGCCAAAATTTTATTTCTTATATTTGCATAATATAATTCAGAACACGTGCGCGTGAAAAGTTTTACAATTTTAAATTGTATATTCATTTTAATTTTATTATAATTTAACATAAAAGAGTCTTTCACTTAATCCAATAAACCTTGCACTTATTTACACTATTATGTGAAAAAAAAAAAAAAATAATAAAATAAAATGTCATTAATTTACAATTCTTCATTATTCTTTTTTATTTATAATTTGCTTTTACATATCAGAATGTACTCAATCATCGTATCAAAGTTTATGAAAACATTAAAATATTATGAACAGCATCAAATATTTATTCCGTCTTATAAAAATTAATTTTATCTATCATTGCCGCTTACTTCTATTCCCCTACCAATAATAATGAATATTTAGCCATACAAAGGGACAATATCGCCTCGATTGTCGCGATCCTTGAAAAATCGTAGTGCAAGTATTGCGAAGAATGTACGATAAACATAAGGGTTACGAGTCCTGAGCGCATTGAGGCACTATTTAGCGAGAGTCCCAAGGTGCGTCGCTGGTGAAAAACGTCACCGAAGTAAAAGAAAAGAAAGGAAAAGAAAAGAAAAGCATAACACAAGGACAGGCGATATAAAAAAAAAAAAAAAAATGTCCTCGTCTTTTAGGCGTTTACGAGCGAGTAGTCGGAGTCGCATAACTCGCGCGTTAGGATAGATTACGCAAGAGGCGCGTCGACAATCAAATTCATCGCATAAGAGAAGTGTAACGCGCGACGGGAGCGTGTCGCAATAAATACTCGTCGTTTCGTGTCGATGAAAGGGACGCCTCGCATTACCTGCATCGAAATTATTAATAGGACAAAAGTGCGATAAGAACGAATATGAGAAAGGTAGTGGAGAACCGATCGTTAAATGCCTTGTAATCGGCGCGTGGAATCGCTTAATTACTCGGCCGACGATTAGAAGACATTTTCACGCATTGTTCGACATGACGATTGTCAAGCGCCGTTTACTGTATTTTAATAGAGTAGCCGATAATTTTTTTCTAATACTAATATCATTCCCATTTATGATTGATACGGGGAGATTAAACGAAGATGCTCGTTACAGAAGGCATAGGCTATTGTTTTTGTAATATGAAAGGATCGCTGTAAGATACAATAAGATACACTAAATTAATTCAAGGTAAGTAAAGTAAGTTTTTTTCTTTTTTTCCTTTTTTTTTCCTTTTTTCTTTTTTTTTTTTTTTTCATTACGATAAGTATTAATTAAGATTTTTGACGTAAGTAGAGAGATTAACGCGAAGTGCATTTCTACTCGCTGGTATTACGCGTATTTATATGAATTCCAACTTATTAATTTCATACTAACAATGTTACACACATTACGGATAAAATAATATTTATTGTGATTAATAGAAACTTGGCATTGAATAACTCATTTAATTCATTAATACGTTAATAATTACAATTGGCAATGCATTGCCATATTTATTAACTAAATTAATTTCTTTAAAATCTATGAGATTTCTAACATAAGACAAATATATTTATTTCAACTCTGTTAGCAATTTTATGTTTTGTTTGAATTAAGAAAAAAATCAGAAATTAAATATTTACCGACAAGAAATTCTAATCCAATATTTACGATCTTAATACTGTCATTAAAGATACGGTGAAAGTTTTCAAATAGTTACAAAATTTTTATTATACGTTATTATTAATAGTAATGTTCAAGAATTAATTTGGGACTGATAACATATTCAATCAAAATCTATGCGATTATGGAATCCTATATCCTAGATTAAAGATAATAATTTATATTAAAAAATATTTATCTTGCAAATATTGAAAATTCATCGTACTGGATTCAATAATGGATTAGCATGTAATGGACTACCGATAATCGTTTACATTGTTCAAATGATTGAGAAAAGCATTTCGAATAAAAATCAATAATGTAACATGAACATAAACACGTGTCAATTAAACTTATTAGTAATTTTAGATAAAATAGGTCTTTCCATAAATGTTATTAAAACTACCTAAACATTTATATCGCAAGTTTGTACGTTTAAATGTTATTAAATTATACAAATCCAATAAAAAATAGTAATATATTAATTTTCGCTATATATATATATATATATATATATATGTGACATGTAAAAATTTCGTATTTATACATACAATTATTAATTTAAACTTATTATTTTGCTGTATTAATAGATAAAAAAAAAGGAAAAAAAAAAAAGAAAACCAACCAATTTTTAACAATCTATTTTTCAAATACTGAATTACAAAATATAATATAACTATATAGTTGTAAAACATATTATATAAAATAATCATTGAAAATATAAATTTTTTAAGGAATAAACGTGAATATTTATTTTTAAGAAACTCGATTTTTATTCTTGCTTTACAAAATATCATATTTTCACAATAAAAATGCTTGCAAAATAATAATGATTCTAACAAAAAGCATGAAAATAA